CCATCATTTAACGTCTTTTGGTATGACGCGGTCGGGGATCGAACCCCAGACCTTCCGCTCTCCGGGCGGACGCTCTACCACTAGACCACGCAGGAGGTCCAATATCAGAAGGAAAGCCTTTAGACTGTGTGTGCTGCACTGGACACGATACAACACAGCCATTTATCAAAGAAAGACTTGACAAAACTGCAACAAAATAAGGGTCCAGGTCTGTGTGTGTGCACTTGACACGATACAACACAGCCAATTATCAAAGAAAGACTTGATAAAACTGCAACAAAAGAAGGTAGTAGTAATTGCTTCATAGCTATCGAACTATACTAAACATCGAAGGCATCTTTGCACATGTTATTCATACAAAGCTTTGAAAACAGAGGTATTTCTGATGTAACCGAGTGGAAATCTCAGACACGGTTATCAGGAAAAAAGTTATAATAGATATTATTTCAAATTCTTTTATAATAATTTTCCATTTACATAAACTATTTAAATAAATAAGAAATAGGTTAGTGTATATTATGTGTATTGCTTGATTGCTACTGCTGTCTTTAAAATGTTACGTAAAATGTCTGATCACCACGCCAAAACAATGTTTTTTTCTGATCAGGGAATATATCTAAGTAAATCAATAAGGAAATTCTTTACTAAAATATATCCAACATTATTTCTTTCACTACGCAACATCAGAATGAGAGCCTTTAGCATGTGTAGGAACCAGTCACTGGTTGTAGGCGAGGGATGTTCCCAGCCAGAACGTGGGACACAACTCGACGTGCTGCGGAAGAAATCTCATCTTGACTACATGCAAGAAGACATGGCTCCCAAACTATGCTGTCATCCTGCAGAAGAATCATAAGTATCTCCTCAAAGGGAATCTCCAGGTCTTCATGGAATCTGTATGTTCACACCAGAGGAATGTGAAATACGTAAGAGTCAAGACTTGTGGGTCTGAGACATGTGAGATGTTACTGAAAAAGGGAGCCGAAGGCTACAGGTCTGTGTGTGTGCACTTGGCACGACACAGCTCCCAAACAACGCTGTCATCCTTCAGAAGAACCATTCATATCTCAAAGATAATTGCCATATTTTATCAGCCACGGAGACTTTAGGAAATCTGTGTGTTTACACCAGAAGAATATGAAACAAAAGTAAAGTTTGAAGCTATGGTGTTGTCCTGCAAAGGAATCACAAGTATCTGAAAGAGAATCTTCAGGTCTTTATGGAATCTGTATGTTCACACCAGAATATGAAATATGTAAGAGTGAATGAAGACCTGTGGGTCTGAGACATGTGAGATGTTACTGAAAAAGGGAGCCGAAAGCTACAGGTCTGTGTGCTGCACTGGACACAACACAGCTCCCAAACAACGCTGTCATCCTTCAGCAGAACCATTCATATCTCAAAGATAATTGCCATATTTTATCAGCCACGGAGACATGCAAGATGTTCTGGAGACACTGAAGAAGAAGGGAACTGAAGGGTACAGTACTGTGTGTGGACACGACACAACACAGCTGTTTATCAAAGAAAGATTTGATAAAACTGCAACAAAAGAAGGGTACATGTCTGTGTGTTTACACCAGAAGAATATGAAACAAAAGCAAAGTTTTAAGCTATGGTGTTATCCTGCAAAGGAATCACAATTATCTGAAAGAGAATCTCCAGGTCTTCATGAAAACTGCATGTTCACACCAGAATATGAAATATGTAAGAGTGAAAACATGTGGGTCTGAGACATGTGAGATGTTCCTGGACACGTTGAAGAAGAAGGCTACAGGTCTGTGTGCTGCACTGGACACAACACAGCTCCCAAACAACGCTGTCATCCTTTAGAAGAACCATTCATATCTCAAAGATAATTGTCATATTTTATCAGCCACGGAGACTTTAGGAAATCTGTGTTTTTACACCAGAAGAATATGAAACAAAGTAAAGTTTGAAGCTCCCAAACTATGGTGTTGTCCTGCAAAGGAATCACATGTATCTGAAAGAGAATCTCCAGGTCTTTATGGAATCTGTGGGTTCACGCCAGGGGAATATGAAAGAAGAGTGAAGACCTGTGGGTCTGAGACATGCAAGATGTTCCTAGACACTGAAGAAGAAGGGAGTCGAAGGGTACAGGTCTGTGTGTGCTGCACTGGACACAACACAACACAACACAACACAGCCGTTTATCAAAGAAAGACTTGATAAAACTGCAACAAAAGAAGGGTACATGTCTGTGTGTGCTGCACTGGATACAACACAGCCGTTTATCAAAGAAAGACTTGACAAAACTGCAACATAAAATTTAAAAGGTTTACGAGCTGTAACACATGGGTCCGAGCCTAGAAATCGAGGCAACAAAAGCCGGGATGTCATTTGACTTACATTACACGCAATCACACGAAAAGATGGAAATAATATCTTACATGTAAGTTTGACAAGATATGTTTTTGTTGATTTTATTTCTTACTTTATATAATTCATTATCGATCTGTTAATCATAAGTTCAGCGCTATGGAAGGATGGCTGGACAGACGAACAAAGAACCATGCCACGTGCTCACTCTGATGATGTCAATGCAAGCAAAGAATGCTTGGTCTTTGGCGTGATGAGCAAACGCTTTGACCACTAGGCTACCACACCACCCCTAGATATTAGATAAGGTTTGTGTCGGTTTGCAAGGAAATATTGTTCAAATTTTGGATACGCTGAATCAGTAAAGATCCGGCTGATTTGAAATGGACTGGAGAAGAATATTGTCAAAATTTGGGTTACCATATTTCAAAATTAGAAATAGGGGGCTCTTATTAGAATATTATTTTGGTGGAAAAAACAGAGTTGAAAGATAAACTTCGTGGTTTATGCTGACAGCCTGACTGTTTATATATGACAGATATATTTTTCCAGAATATAATTGCCCATAATTAAGGGTACGTATTATACACAAATAAATAAGTCTTGTGTACATTGATCAATCGGAAGGGGTGCTGATTGGGATTGTTCACTTGCCAATATATTAGCAAATATTGCCGTGGGCGCTTATTACGTCAAATACAGTAGTTTCTGAAATATTCATCAGCAGGTGCTTGTTGCCTGTGAAGCAGACTAGGCGACTGTGTGTACAGATCACCACTGTGCAGCAGACCCAGTTTAAGGGCCATCATGTGACACATACATCAACATCAAACAGTTATTGTCAATCAAATCATAACAGTAACAACCCAATCATCTCAGTCAGGGAGAAGTACGAACGTTAAATATAGAAAAAAAACATCTTTAGAGTCATACCCATCAAAAATTTAATTGTGACTTGATCAAGAAGATTTTCCAAAAGCATTGGACCCTGGTGTCACAACTACCACTTAGAATATATACTACTCAAACAAGTTAAAGAACACCCAAGATTGGAAGGCTGCGTGTTGCAATACCCACCAGCAATGGTAGATTATCTAAAGTCATGTGGGAAAATAATTGGCTGACTGACTGACTGACTGACAAGCATTGAATGTGTGTTTGAGGTTGACATGTAAATGATGTTTTTTTCAGATGCAAAACGTTCAGATCGGTAAACCTCTCAATCCCTGGAGTGAGTGAGTGAGTGAGTGAGTGAGTGAGTGAGTGAGTGAGTGAGTGAGTGAGTGAGTGAGTGAGTGAGTGAGTGAGTGAGTGAGTTGGGTTTAATGCTGCTTTTAACAGTATTCCAGTTATATCACGGCGTGTCAGCTTAAAGTGGGAGGAAAGCCCGAAGTGATGCAGGTCTCAAACGTTCACCACTTTGGTGAAACCCACGAGCACGGGTATGGTGCTGACAAACCTAGAAACATAATCGGGGCGAACAAGGATTCGAACCCACAATCATAGGTTTCTGGCGTGCCCAAGGGACGCAACTCTGCAATCCCTGGATTAGAGTAATACAATTTGTATCCAATAGCAATCTTTTGCACGGCTCCCCTGCAGCCTCCAAGTTTAAATTTTTACCAAGTAGCCATATGGCTACAAGTATTTTTTTCCAGGTAGCCAATTGTAAAATCAAGAAGTCAAGCCAATATTGTAGGTAGCCAAAAGCATTTGAAATGATCTTTTATGAAATAACTATCAAATGTGCAAGTCATAGCACTAGTCTTGGAATTGTATATTAGTGGAAACGGTACTTGAGTTTTGTTATTTGTGACTCAAACAATTATGCAATTTATGTTACTAGAGTATATAGGTATATCCTTGCTTATCCAATGAGCATTTTCAACTGAAATAAAATACTAATTACATTAACATTTATCAGGGATGAGAGCAGATTTTCCTGAAAAAAAAGAGAGAAGAAATATTTATGTATTTCGGTTCATTGTTGACTTTAGGAGGAATTGTTTGCGAGTACAATTAGTACCAATTAGTACCTTTTCAAGGTAGTCATTTGACTACCTCTGAATTTAAGACAGTAGACAAATTGAAATTCAGGTCGCAACTTTGAGGCCTGCCTTGTAAAAATAAACTTGAATAATAAGCATGAAACGAAACATGCAACATCACTTCCTCTCAACCACATTGAATAACTGGTCTATTATCCATCTGAAAAACATGCTTATTTAGGAACATTCATGTTCCTCATTTGCCATGAGATGGTCCTGACTACTTGTGCGAAGGTACACTTAGGCATTTGGGGGGAATTACAGCTTTTTGGCAAAAGAATTATGATGTTGGTAGGTCGAATAGAAAATCTGTTTTCAAATATCTTTTTGAATTTCCTCAAAATGGTGAGTAGGTAGGAAAGAAGTAAAAGGGGCAAAAATGGGGGAAGGAATTTTAAGATAAATTTTAAATAATTTATTTATACTGGTTGTGACAGTAAATGATATTTTTTAAACATGGTCGGTTGAAAATGAAAAATATCTGCTTTCCATTTTTGTTTTTTCAACATTTCAATATGTTTGTGTCAGCAGATTTACAACCAAGTTTAAAAAAACCCTGGCTCCCCTTATCGATGACTTTATATAATAAATATCAGACAAGGTGTTTTTTTAAAATATAATTTCTCAGTGTGCCCTTCATGGTCAGGAAACAGATTTTACCCATGCCATTATGATGTAACCAATTAACCATGCCATTCTGATATAACCATACTATTACATATTAGGAATTTCAAACCCTGAGTTTCTCTTTGCCATCTAACTGACTTGTAGCTTCTTCCCTTCTTGCTCACATTTTCTGCTCACTTCCTGGAGGCCAAGTATTGTCTGTGTGATATGAATCGTATCACATCCCATCGTAACACTTTCTGCCCACTAACTGTAGTCTTCCTTCCTGGAGGCCAAGTATTGTCTGTGTGATATGAATCGTATCACATCCCATCGTAACACTTTCTGCCCACTAACTGCAGTCTGTGTGGTCTTCCTTCCTGGAGGCCAAGTATTGTCTGTGTGATATGAATCGTATCACATCCCATTGTAACACTTTCTGCCCACTAACTGTAGTCTTCCTTCCTGGAGGCCAAGTATTGTCTGTGTAATATGAATCGTATCACATCCCATCGTAACACTTTCTGCCCACTAACTGCAGTCTTCCTTCCTGGAGGCCAAGTATTGTCTGTGTGATATGAATCGTAACACATCCCATTGTAACACTTTCTGCCCACTAACTGCAGTCTTCCTTCCTGGAGGCCAAGTATTGTCTGTGTGATATGAATCGTATCACATCCCATTGTAACACTTTCTGCCCACTAACTGCAGTCTTCCTTCCTGGAGGCCAAGTATTGTCTGTGTGATATGAATCGTATCACATCCCATCGTAACACTTTCTGCCCACTAACTGTAGTCTTCCTTCCTGGAGACCAAGTATGGTCTCTGTGCCACCAAGGCTTTCTGGTACATTTTCATGTCCAACCCATCCACACAACGAACCACTCTGGCTTTGAGAGTTACATTAGTGTTTGAAGCACAGTCTAATTCACCAATGAACTGAAACAGAGAGCCGATCTTGGCATTGAATGGTTCCACAAGCCTGGTGTCAATGGTGAGCGGTCGTCGGTTGTTGGAGTCCACCACTTGTGCTGTGCAGGTGTGGATATTGTGCTCCTCTAGTCTGAAAGAAAACCATGGAGGCTCAGTCACTTCAATAACGACCTTGTTGGATTGTATAGTCTGGAAGGTAATTTAAGGTACCGACGTTTACTACAATGTCTGAAAAACTATTGGACCTACTCCAGTCAAAGTTGGTATGAGATTATTAAACAGTCATAACACTGTATTCTTGCGTGCGTGATTCCCATGAGTGAGTTGGGTTTAACGCCCCTTTTAACACTATTTCAGTTATATTGCGGTGTGTCAGCTTAATGTGGGAGGAAAGCCCGAAGTGATGCAGGTCTCAGACGTTTACCACTTTGGTGAAACTCATGAGCACGGGTATGGTGCTGACAAACCTAGAAACATAATCGGGGCGAACCGGGATTCGAACCCACAATCATAGGTTTCTGACGTGCCGAAGGGACGCAACTCTGCACAGCGAATCGCGGCGCCTTAGACGACTGGGCCACCCGTTGCCCCCGTGCACCCCTTCGAGTTGAGTTGATTGGTTCAACTGTGTCATATGGCCCTGTGACGCAGGGGTAGCATTATGCAGATGGCTGTTACAATGAATGCTCGTTCCACCCGTGACGAACAGGTCTGCTTGTTGATGAAATATAGTGATAGCTAAATAGACAGATTTTTTATTCATGCACCGATTGTCTTTAAATGTAATATCCAGTAATGTATGAATGTTTAATAATCTCATACCAACTTTGACTGGAGTAGGTCTAATAGTTTTTCAGATATTGTAGTAAACGTCGTTACCTTAACTTACCTTCCAGACTATACAGACAGTGTTTGCATTGTTCTCCAAAATAATGGGGTCCCCTTGGAAGCATTAGCCACGAAGCTATTTAGGGGGGTTTGGTGGCATGCACTGCAAGAAATTATGTTAAATGTGGACCTCAAATTGTGAACTTTAGGCCATTCTGAGCATAAATAAGTGTGTGGTTAAATTCTTTAAGTGTCAGTTTTTATGTGTGTACACAAAACATCTTTATATCTTCATAGATTAGCCACTTGACTCTTGACTCTTAACACCCTTCAGCCACAGAAGCTTTAACTGCTGTGACACCAAGTTCCCAGAGACTCATGTGTGGTAGATGAAGCCAACATTTTATCAAGGAAAATATCTGCTTGTAAAACATTAGTCCTGTGGAATATATTTATTTTATGAAAAAACAAAACACCAATCTAGAAACCTATACAAAAGCAAGTCTAGCCAGCTCTAGCTAGGAAATCTACATAGGGAAAATTATTTTTTTAATTATTATAGTCGAGAAGGGTATTGTGCAATATAAGATTTCACAGACTAAATGTTAAAACGTAGTAAAACGTCTTTGCAATTACATGCTATACACCATTTAAAGGTCTAATCCTACTGTTTATACATATGAAAGTTATGTTTATCACATGATTTGAATAAAGCATTTTCAACTTAATTAAGTAAGTTGTAAATAAAAAAATGTAAGCTAACACAATCCAAACGTCGAGACTAATGACCAAAGGAAGCGAAAATTTGACGATTTTTGTCAAATGTAAAAATTCATAAAACCCACTAACCTTTTTTTTCAAAATATTTTCATTGTTTATGTGATTGGGAAATTATTTTCAAAAGAATTGTTAATAGTATCTGTCATCACCAAATTCCAGATAACAGCGACTGTCCGCTCAGTAACATGAAGAAATACGTCTGTTTTCGAAGCTTCATATAAGAAATCTTATTTTTTACATCTAGGAGGCGTTGCAAGCCACGAATTGCTGAGAGAAAGCAAATTAATTGCTCAACCCGGGGTCTGCAACTGGTCTAAGCACCTGCACGCTTTCAAAATGGCAGCGCAACTACTGCTTGGTTGCCTTGACGTTATGAAGAGCGTTACAGAAGAGGCTCTTACTTTGAAGATGTGGAGCAGACTGAGGATGATGAGGTGTTAGCTACCTTAGCTCATTTCCCCTTTGATCCAGTCAATAATTTCTTGTTCAACAGTCAAAGTCAATGGCCTTTTGGTTTGAGAACGAAGTGACCTCAGCCAGCGGCTGAAAGTAAGCACACTGTCGTGAGGCGAATCACTGTACATCACTTGCAACACACCCTTACACTAACCTCACCAAGAGCTGAAATTTGCTACAAGGGTGGTGATTGGTCAAACTAGAGCACATGACCTAAGGCTGTCAATCAAATTACAGCAATTATGGGTACCATCCTCATTTAACAACTTTAGATATGTTTGTGTTGATTTTATTTATTACTTTGTATAATAAATTAAAGATTTGCTTAAAAAGTTTTTGTTTTGCTCTTTGACATGTTATATGTGGACCAGCTGTCGAAGTGTGTGTCCGAGAATCTTTTTTCAATAACATTGGGGAAATAGTGAATAATTTTTAATCTATCGATAAAAAAGGATAAACTGAAATGGAACACGTGCTTCAGACATTGTGAAATGTGATAGATTTAATAAATGAATGATATGACAGGCAGGTTCATAAAATTATATACCCTCTATTTTGATGTGACTACGGCTTGGCCGGTCTACTGGCCTGCAGTGTCTGGGGACTCCAGGTTTTTTGGCCGATGTACCGGCCTACAGTGTTAAAGGGCAGCGTTAGAAATTGGCAATAGTCTGTAGTCCTTGCCAAAGTGCCCAATAGTTAAGGTATCATAAGGACTAGTAGAAATTTGCCATTTGTAAGAGTCTTGCTATATGTTATCATTATAAAGACTTGTGGACTAAAAATGTTAGTTTCTACCGCTGAAGGGTACATTGGCTATTCAAGCCAACTTTCTTCAAACCTATTTTTCTTTTGACAAAGTGTCTGTGATGTCATTTTGACTTTAGTCCTTGACATTGACAAAATACTGTTAACAAGGTCTGTGATTGGATTACGTTTCTATTTCCGATTTGTAAACCAATCAGCGATGCCATTACGAACACGACATGGAAGAGCAATGTCATCGGATACCTTTCAGTTTCCCGCGGTCAGAACGAAATCTGGCTAGCACTGGAACCCAGCGAATATTGGATACACATTATCACATGGGTTTTGGGAGCGAGAAAAACTCAAAACAAAACAACAATAAGTTATGTGTGAAGTAAACCTTTTTCAAAATGAAAAATGCATAAAGGGACGTGTGTGTGTTGCTTTATTTGAGTCCTATTTTTTTTCAGTGCCTATTTTTCTATATGGGACGCCATAAACGCTAACACTGTGTAGTATACTTAAGCATATAGAGACCTACCTAGGGTATATATATCTGCCAGCAATGACCCCTTCAGCATTACTTTACAGGGTCCTCATATTGCCTGTGTAGCAGGGCGTGGAGTCATCCCACAGATGACATCCTTACCTTGTCAGCTTGCTGACGGGGTTAACCTCTTTGGTCATGAGGACAAGGCGTCCGACCTCGGATCAGAAGGTCCGTGGTTCGAATCCCATCACGGGACTCGGAAATTTTATGGCCGCTACATTGGCGCCCAACGTGGGGCTGAGCACGTTCATATTAAATTTGAGCAAAATAAGCCTCAGTACCCTACTATGCGGCCCGGGACGTGCCTTCTGTTGACGGGGGAGTATGTAGCAGGGCGTGGAGTCATCCCACAGATGACATCCTTACCTTGTCAGCTTGCTGACGGGGTTAACCTCTTTGGTCATGTGGACAAGGCGTCCGACCTCGGATCAGAAGGTCCGTGGTTCGAATCCCATCACGGGACTCGGAAATTTTATGGCCGCTACACCTGCAAGAACCCTAAGAATTAATCATTTTTTTTAAGCTAAGCCAAGGTAATACCGACCGCCTCCGTGGTATAGCGGCAGAGCGTACGCCCAGAGAGTGGAAGGTCCAGGGTTCGATCCCCTGCCGCGTCATACCAAAAGACGTTAAAAGATGGTACTTATTGTTACCCTTTCTGGTGCTATGCATTAAGGGGCTAAAACAAGGACTGGTCGGCTCGGAGTCAGTAGACTGTGTCTGACTGGGGTATTCATGTTAACTGCGGCATGGTATCTCAGTGGGCTAGCACTATAAATCGGCATCAGTCCGGACTAGTACAAGCAGCCACATACACACACACACACACGTCGCTATATAAGTGGACGCGACGTTAAACCCTATTTCACCTCACCTCACCAAGGTAAAACCTGTTCGTCGTATGATTTCGACGCATTTCACGTTCTCAATACGCGTAAATTGCGTGTGAAAACACGTCACGAACTTATGGTACTCACGAATTTACGATACTCGACCATACTGTTTTCATTTCCGAGTAAGTGCGTTTATCATGTTTATGAGCTGCCTACAAACATGGACGTCAACTCACGTGATATACCAGTGGTGTAATGCTAAGTCATCACTTCGCTAGTGTGTGGCGAGCCTATGTGAAACATCGGAATGTTATTAATATCAAACCTCGGCCTTTCACCTGTTCACACGCACAGGTCTCAGTATCTACCCTTGTGAACATACACGGCTAAAAATAACATCACAAGTCAGTATTGATGAATAACGTCTGTAGAAATACCTCCCAACAATTCTTGCCGATTTTCCATCAATCGATGCAATATCAGATGATAATCGTTGGAATATTTCATCGATGACAAGAGGTTCGCCATGAGATGGCAAATTTCGCGCCGCCATTCTTCCTCAGTTTCTATAAAACTGGGACTCAATGTTTCTGCGAACAAGGAATACCGAGTCCAAATAAATAATACTTTACATTATACATATAAGTGGCCTATTCCATATTCGTTTGTGTACTCTGTGTGTTCATCACAGCATGTGTAGGTCAAATTGAAATATATCTAAACATTAAAAAAAAGAAACGTCGCACTGAAAGTCTAAAAGACACATATAGTCCAGGCAAAATAAGGTTTCACTTGGAACAAATTGCAACAGAATGTATTTTACCACAATGCATTTCTACTAGGTCCCGAAACCAACATACCAAAAGTCCCACGCAATCCTAGTTTGGGAAATATGTCTATTTTGCATAATCCAATATGGCCACCAATTATCAATATATCTTCCATATGTCAGATGAGGGTCAATGCTTTGATGAAAAAAAACATGTGTTGTCTTGCGAAATAACCATATTATGTTTCTAAAAAAATATTCACAACAACTGAACATTTTCGACAATTGACAAATCTGCAAAAAATCAAGATGGCCGCCAATTTCAAGATGGCCGCCAAGTTTCCTAAATGTGTGTTTACACTGTCCAATCGTTTATCTCTAAAACAAAGTTCTACGACTTATATGCATATAACTTGGCACATCAACTCACTGAAGTATAGTTAACTGTCTAGACCGATACTGTAACTCTACAATGCTACTTTAAAATACATCTAGAGGAGATTGTCTGGCTGTATACTAGTGTATACACGCTTATTTATATATCAGCCTTCATTTGGATACATCACAACTTATAAGAGGCCCCTAACTGAAGTTTTGATATGCAATGGTCAAATCATCTTTTTTTTAAAATATATTTAAATAAACATGATAAAAGGCAGGTCATTTAATATTTTTAGTTTTTCGTATTTTTTCCCAATCGCCCCCTCTGAAGCGGAGGGTGGATATGAGAGAAATAGGCTAGGAATTAATACAATGGCCTCACCATACCAGGGTTTCGATCAGTTCATTTTCTACGACAGTGACTGATGCCATCCAAAATAGATCGTGAAGATCCGGGGTAGAATAGCTCTTCAGCAACCATGCTTGCCGTAAAAGGCGACTATGCTTGTCGTAAGAGGCTACTAAGGTATCCTGGTGGTCTAGCGTTGTGTTAGCTCGTCACGTCACTGTCCCAAGGCCCGGGTTCGATTCCTCACTTGAGTACGATGTGTGCTGTCCAGTTTTTGTCCCCTGCGAAGTAGCGGCATATAAACCACTCACTTATTCACAAAGCGGAAATATATAAAATTGGGATTCGAGATTCTGAGAAGAATTGTAATTGAGATTAACTGATTGCATCGATCCCCAGCATATTAATTGATAAACCCTTGATATTTCATCCTGTAATTTCTAAGAAGTTTAAGCATGTTAATTCATCATGGAAAATAGCCCTTCAAATCAGAAATGATAGAGATAGTTGTTTTTTTCCTATTTCAACAAAACATTACGTATTTGTCAACTCGACGTCACGTGTTGGAGCGTTATGAAAAAGGACTAACATTAATGGATGAAATACTCTTTACCAGAATCTAATAGAATAGAAAATGACTCATGTGGATATTTAAAAAAAATTAAAGAGTAATGTAATAAGGCTTGAATTGTTTTAGGTGCGTTTTAAACAAGCAAAACACATATTTATGAATATATAGATCTATGTATATTAGTTACAATTCTATTCATTATACACGCCGGTATTTTAACATACGTCAACGCTTTATGTATTAGTATTGTAATCATAATCGTCCACATGTTAAATACTTTTTTATTATTACAGTATATTTAAATGGAATCGGAATAAAATGTCCCTGGAATATTCGTTTCTTTTCACACATCTATTGGCAGTTGTTATTTTGGGTCAAGTGATTGGTTGAAATGTGTAATTGAAGAATTAATCTATTTATATAAATATCAATCTAGAAAAAATAATTCTTAAAATGAAATATAATTTATAGATATTCTAATAAATTAATCTTTAATTTTCATTCGTAACCTATGGAACTCGTTGCCATAGCTACTTTGAAAAATATTCTGCGGAGAAATCCAAAATGGCCGGTTAGTATGCTATCTGTGTAACAACTACTGACCTTTAACGTATTTGTTATTAATTCTGTTAGTCTAATTAGCTTTATTTACCTACAAAATCAAACAAACGTCAACGTCTTTGTATTGTCTAATAAATAAACTTATGTATAATCAGAGACAACACATGCTTTATTATACAACATCATCATCAATAATATTCCGATAAATCATTAGTTGTAGGACAGCAGTCTACTCAAGGATGGTGTTAGATTACTGACAGAGAAGGACTCGGTACATGGAATTCGACCCAAAATTGTTTGTAAGTAATGATCATGGCTGCTTTTAAATGTAACACAACTCACTGTTTTTATTTGTATTGCTTTGAAGATAAAAAAAACATTTGTCTTATGATTCGTTTCTAGCTAGTAGCAGTTGATATATTTCATGAAACGTCAAACGACTTGTTGAGTGCTGAGAAGTGGTAGCAAATTCTGACATTTGGCACCGAATCAAACATGGAATGCAAGTGGTTTTGTGGCAATTTGTGCACCTCACAACCTTGTTCCACTTCAAAGAAATCTGAATCTTGATATTTGCATCTACACCTTTCCCATTTCGTGTCTTAGCCTGTATTTACATTTGTAAACACTCAACATCGAACATGGATTTATAGAACTGTTAGTGCCAATGTCAAATATAGGCCTTTATATCACCAATGCCTATATCGCCCTTATATTTTCTGCGTTGACCCGAAGTAGTCATTTGACACAAAATTCAGGGCAAATTCACATTAAATAAAACATGATGATGTTTTTCGACAAACAAATTTTCATAAAACTCAAAATATTTCACCAAAGCAATAGGCTATTTCAGAACAATCCCAATTACATTACAATATTTTGTATTACTGATAAATAAATAATGAACAGTGTATCTAAGCTTATTTATTGATATATTTCATTTGTATGACTCAGTATTTAATTTTATCAAGTGATAACAGTTTACTGGTAAACCAGCGTTCTATTTTATGGTTAAATTGTGACTTCAGTGTTTTCATCTACACACAAGTAAATATAGCACATGAATATCATGATCTATCACTGTTTTAATCAAAGAATACGTTTTTATTGATCATTTCGGCTCAGCTTGAAAACAATAGGTGAGGTGAAATGGGGTTTAATGTCGCGTCCAAGATTATTGCACTTATATAGCGACGTGCATGCACGTGTGTGTGTGTGTGTGGCTGCTTGTACTAGTCCGGACTGATGCCGATTTATAGTGCTAGCCCACTGAGATACCATGCCGCAGTTTAACATGAATACCCCACTCAGACACAGTATACTGACTCCGAGCCGACCAGTCCTTGTTTTAGCCCCTTTATGTCGAGCACCAGAAAGGGTAACAACAAGTACCATCTTTTAACGTCTTTTGGTATGACGCGGCAGGGGATCGAACCCCGGGCCTTCCGCTCTCCGGGCGGACGCTCTACCACTAGACCACGGAGGCGGTCCTGAAAACAATAGCCAGCAGCTAGAGGGATGAATTCAGCTTAGTTACCATGCATGGTCCCTAGTATGGTGATCTACCTTTGGTTGCTGGTGATCTGTAGGCCAAATTGTATAATATTATGTTGTTTACTGTCCTTTCTTGGCAGGATCATATTTGATATATAGGTAATAAATTCTCTAGTCATAATATGGCTGATATACTACTGATGTGACTTGAAATTTTAACTGACTGACCATTGCCCCCACTCACCATTGCTCACTCACACATCTTTGCTCACTCTCTCAAGATCCAATAACATTTTGGTATACCATATTCGACGTAATAAGCACCCACGGCTATATTTGCTAATATATTGACAGGTAAACAATCGCAATTAGAACCCCTTCCGATTGATAAATGTACACAAGACTTATTTATTTGCGTATAATACGCATTCGTGTGTTATATGCACCCTTAATAATGGGCAATTAAATTCTGGAATAATGTATCTGTCGTATATAAACATTTCAGGCTGTCAGCATAAACCACAAAATTTTTATCTTTATACTCTTGTTTTCACCAAAATAATATTCTAATAAGAGTCCCCTATTTTCTATTTTGAGAGTGCCCTGGGTGCTTATTGCGTTGAATACGGTATTGCCAGTTACAAATCATATAGTGTATATGGTTTCACACTACATCCTGGAACGACCCGTGAAGATTCCGGGGTAGAAGAGGTCTTCAGCAACCCATGCTTGCCCTAAAAGGTGACTATGCTTGTCGTAAAAGGCGACTAACGGGATCGGGTGGTCAGGCTCGCTGACTTGGTTGATGCATGTCATCAATCCAAATTGCGTGGATCGATGCTCATGATATTAATCACTGGATTGTCTGGTCCAGACTCGATTATTTACAGACCGCCGTCATATAGCTGGAATATTGCTGAGTGCGGCGTTAAACAACAAACCAACCAACCAACCTACATCCTGGAACATTCCAGCAATAGTGGGCTTCATGGTCCTGTGTCTGAAATAATTATATAACCCAACAAGACAGTCGCACAGGTGACCCATAGATGTTGCCTGCCCATCATCTATGTTACCTGTCCACATTCAGACATTATAAAAAATATAAAAAATTCAGCCGAAATAATTACAATTACCGTATTCGACGTAATAAGCGCCCCGCTCTAATAAGCGCCCACGGCGATATTTGTTAATATACTGGCTAGTGAACAATCCTAATTAGCACCCCTTCCGATTGATAAATGTACACAAGGCTATTTATTTGTGCATAATACGTTTGTTATATGCACCCTTAATTATGGGCAATTAAATTCTGGAAAAATATATCTGTCGTTTATAAACATTTCAGCATAAACCACGAAATTTACGCTCTTTGAACTCAAAAATATATATTCTAATAAGAGCCCCCTATTTCTAATTTTGAGAGCGCCCTGGGCGCTTATTATGTCAAATACGGTACTTGAGAATCTACGAGGTGTTATGATAAAACTGAATATGTATGTAGTCTTAAAATTACCATATTTGACGTAATAAGCGCCTAGGGCGCTCTCAAAATTCGAAACAGGGGGATCTTATTAGAATATTATTTTGGTGAAAAAAACAGAGCCGAAAGATAAATTTGTGGTTTATGCTGACAGCCTGAAATGTGTATGTACGACAGATATATTTTTCCAGAATTTAATTGCCCATAATTAAGGGTGCATATAAAACATGAGTGCATATTATTATTATACGAGAAAAAATAAGTCAATCAATCGGAAGGGGTGCCAATTGGGATTGTTCACTAGCCAATATATTAGCAAATATCACTGTGGGCGCTTATTAGAGCGGGGTGCTTATTACGTTGAAAATGGTATCTGCCAGACAGTCAGGCATATGGAGGATAATTTCACGCAGCCTGACAGAAAGTCACAAGGCTTCGTCAGGCAGGCAGGCAGTTATTTCGACACTGGATTCACCAGTCAAACACATCCAGGGAAAGTTTTAACAACCAGGCAACCTCACGTCCCGATCAAATTGACAACATAAACCAAATGTTAGAATGTTTTGACAGGGATGAACTTAGGACTTCCTTGAATGTTCTTGAAATTTTCATGTCAAAACTATTTGCATCCAGTGCAGGTTGTTTTGACTTGAAAGAATGTGATACCTAGGGGGTGGGCGGGAGCTGAAATGAACAGTGGTCATGTGACAAGGCAGATGAAACTAGGCCACACCTTAAAGTGAGATTGTTTACTAATTTCCTCATTGGTGTGTGACAGCGAGCATGTTAGCAACTCCTGTCACTGATTGCCGCTTATTGTAGAGTTGATTTTGTGTTGACCTAGTTGATGGGCGAACACCAAATTCTTATTAAGAGGTAAGTTTTGTTTGGGAAACAAACTTTATGAAATAATATTACCGTATATGGCGTAATAAGCACCCTGCTCTAATAAGCGCCCATGGCGATATTTGCTAATATATTGGCTAGTGAACAATCACCCCTAGTGAACAATTAGCATCCCTTCCGATTGATCAATGTACAAAAGACTTATTTATTTGCGTATAATACGCACTCGTGTGTTATATGCACACTTAATTATGGGCAATTAAATCCTGGAAAAATATATCTGTCGTACATAAACATTTCAGGCTGTCAGCATAAACCATGAAATTTATCTTTCAGCTCTGTTTTTTTTCGCCAAATTAATATTCTAATAAGAGCCCCCTGTTTCTAATTTTGAGAGCGCCCTGGGCACTTATTAGGTCAAACACGGTAAGCATAATAAGCGTTAAATAAAAATGATGAAATAATAATCAGCATGAGACAGGCTCTGTTAATCATGTTATTGTAAGTGTTGTATCATACAGGGGACCAGATGATCTTTTGAGCCCTTGAGAATATACTCATATGTCAGACCTTATATGTTTATTAAGTTAGTTTACAAGATTTTTGGCCTAAAGTTCAATGTAGGTGTATCAATTATCATTCACATTTGGTATTGATAGCTTTCTTCTAGACTTAACATCTAGTCAGTGAAATGAAAATATTTGACATAAAAAACCTGTTAAGTTATCTTAAACAAACATAAAAGTAAGGAGTCCAGAGACTTCATTTTCACCTGCAGTAATCTGGACTTGTATTGGATATATGTGTTTCAGGGTCTTTTTGACAGTAATCTAGACTTACCCACTATTAAAATAGTATCATAGACTTGCATGGGCTGTATTGGATATATTTGTTTCAGGGTCTGTATGACAGTAATCTAGACTTACCCACTATTAAAATAGTATCATAGACTTGCATGGGCTGTATTGGATATATTTGTTTCAGGGTCTGTATGACAGTAATCTAGACTTACCCACTATTAAAATAGTATCATAGACTTGCATGGGCTGTATTGGATATATTTGTTTCAGGGTCTGTGTGACAGTAATCTGGACTTGCTAACTATAATATACTAGCTTGGACTGTATTGGATATATTTGTTTCAGGGTCTGTATGACAGTGATCTAGACTTGCCCACTATTTAAATAGTATTATGGACTTGCATGGGCTGTATTGTATATATATGTTTCGGGGTCTGTATGACAGTAATCTAGACTTGCTACCTATCATAGACTTGCATGGGCTTGTTTGGATATATTTGTTTCGTGGTCTTCAAAAGATTTTTTCTCTCATGGGTCCAGTCTGTTGGGTTTTGAAAGTGGACTTTTTCAACTGGTTCTACTTGTCTGTGTTCCAGGTAATGTCTGATTAACTTGTTTTCATGTGCTGCCCCTAGTGAGTCCTATGCTCCTAACAGTCATACATGTCTAAGTTACAATAATCCAGATGTTGGACATCTTTGCAATATGTACCGCAGTACAGTTCATGTGGCTGCATTCAGTCAGTAAACAAACAACAAACAAAACAGTCAGTAAACAAACAACAAACAAACAACAAACAAACCAGTCAGTAAACAAACAACAAACAAACCAAACCAGTCAGTAAACAAATATTTGTAACACTGGTACTCGAGCTGAAAAAGCTACAATGTATAATTACGCAAGGTTTGTTACACTATAAGGTGCTTGAATTTTGTCATGCGTATTTGTATGCAAGCAACTCAAAATTAATTTGGTTTAAATGATTTAGTTTGTATTTTATGCAAATACGCAGCTTAGCCGAGCTCTGCTGAGGTTCGGTGGAGGCAGCTGAGATGAGTAAATGATGACACAAACGTTGCCACCCATTTAGCCTGGTTTAGATCTTTCATCATGTGCAATCTCTGTGAACATCAACAATATCATAATTACAATTACCGTATTGGATGTAATAAGTGCCCCGCTCTAATAAGCGCCCACGGCGACATTTGCTAAGATATTGGCTAGTGAACAATCCCAATTAGCACCCCTTCCGATTGATCAATGTACAAAAGACTTATTTATTCGCGTATAATACGCACTCATGTGTTATATGCACCCTTAATTATGGGCAATTTAATTCAGGAAAAATATATCTGTCGTACATAAACATTTCAGGCTGTCAGCATAAACCATGAAATTTATCTTTCAACTCTGTTTTTTTTCACCCAAATAACATTCTAATTAGAGCCCCCTATTTCTAATTTTGAGAGCGCCCTGGGCACTTATTACGTCGAATACGGTGCTATGACATGGATTCAATAAGGAATATATTTTTTTGATAAAATGACAAAAGTTTACAAATTTGTGAAATAAATAAGGTATGTTAAGGTTGTAGAATGTCAAGCGTGTGTGGGGTGTTTGAGGTGACACCTTGGACTGACCAGGGCCCACTTGTACAAATCGATCTTAGCGCTAAGATGATCGTAACTCCCATACTTTGACATAGGCTTACAATCGTCGTAGAGCTAAGATCGATTTGTGCAAGTGGGGCCAGGGTTCCGTTGTACAAAACGACCTTAGCTCTATGATTGTTGTAAGTCTATATTAAGGTATGGGAGTTACCATCACCTTAGTGCTAAGATCTCTTCGTGAAACCGCAACCAGAACCTTTGTAGGAAAACATTTCTTAAAAAAGTAACATTTGTTTTTATGTGACAAACCTATCTATCTTTTTGTTGAGTGAGAAAACAAAAAATACAACCACTTAAGTTAGTCATGATTGATCAAATGCATTGTATTCTAATCAAACCAAATGGCTGGTTTCCTCAACAGATTCTCCTGCTTTTAATCTTTTATTGTTAGCAAGTGTTTCTTATTTGAATGAATACGTTATTTAACATACCAGTAATTCAACATATGAGGTCTGCCGTAGATGAATCGACCCTCCTAAATGTAAGATTTTTCCTTCTCCAAGCAGGGTTTTACATGAAGCAGAAATGTGCATCCAGTATACACAAGTGTAGAATCGACGCAGAAAAAATTATGACTTACATCCGAAGGGACGCTAGAAATATTTATTGTAGTAAATTCTTGACAAGAAATATGTAGGTACTGTAATTAAAGCAATTGTTAAATCTTACCCTTCGGTACACTACACTATTTCATTACTGTACAGACCAGTGAAGATTCCGGGGTAGAAGAGGTCTTCAGCAACCCATGCTTGCCGTAAAAGGTGACTATGCTTGTCGTAAAAGGCGACTAACGGGATCGGGTGGTCAGGCTCGCTGACTTGGTTGATGCATGTCATCGATCCCAATTGCGTGGATCGAAAGCTCATGACATTAATCACTGGATTGTCTGGTCCAGACTCGATTATTTACAAACCGCCATCATATAGCTGGAATATTGCTTAGTGCGGCGTTAAACATTAAACCAACCAACCAACTAACATTACTGTACAGGACCTTCATATTTCCAGTGGCAAACTGTGTAGCAACTGCTAATGATTAACATGTCTCCATGAGCCAGACATTAACTGTTGTATGTTGTTGTTGTAGATGATAATGTCCCTCAACTCACTCAACTAATACTTCTGAATACCTGCACTCAACCAAACAGCACTCCTAATGAGTATTTAACTGGTATTTTTTCTTTTTGAAACTACAAAGCTTTGATACAAATTGAATCATGGTTAATATTTTCCTGAGAATTTTATTTGCCGCCCATATTAGGTCAAGGTCATTGTGAAAACTGTGAAGTAGATATGCCAGTTCGTATGGGTTTTCTTGCTTGTCTGGGCTTTGTCCTGTTGCTTTCAGTGTTCATGAGTTTAGGAAGTGTTTCATTGCAAACAGGTGATAGTCTACTTTCTACATCTTTTTGCTTTTTGCTGAACTGTAAGGTCAAGGTCAAGGTCACATTGAAGGCGTTAACATCCTAACACCATTGAAGTTTGTCAAATGAAGACCTGACGGTGTGGCTGATTCTGTCAAGGTCAAGGTCACAGTAAACATGTTTGAAGGCCTCACTCTAGTATGAGAAACACTTCTGACAACATTTTAGTAATTCTTGATTTTATATGAAACACTCAGAGCCTTTTGCATGTTTTGGGTGATTTGCTGAATTGTTCAAAAGTTGATAGATCATAGATATCAGTGTCTTCAGAGAGCTTAACTCGTGATGTATAAATACCGTATTCACTGTATCAAGCACCCTGCACTTATAAGCCCCCCGACAAACTTCCAGATGAAGCTGAACGTAGTCTGTTTAGTGCCCTCTACTAAAAGCGAACATTTATTATTGACAGTCCTTATTTTCTTGTGGACCAATTTGTTAACAGAAGATGCATATAATTGCCAGCTAATTATTATTAAAAAGGGTTTGGTTTGCCTGATGTTTGAAAAACGTTTCTTTGCTACTGCTTGATCTTTGAAAACAAATGTAACTTGTTGTGGGTTTATGAAGTGTCGGGCGGTTGGGTAGCCTAGTGGTTAAAGCGTTCGCTTGTCACGCCGAAGACCCGGGTTCGATTCCCGACATGGGTACAATGTGTGAAGCCCAATTCTGGTGTCCCCCGCCGTGATATTGCTGGAATATTGCTAAAAGGCGTAAAAGCATATTCACTCACTCACTTATAAAGTGTCCCCTCTTGTCATTCCTCTACAACCAGGATGCTTATTACGACTGTTACGACACTGCTCCTTTTTCAAAGATGTTTAAAGAATTTCATTGATCCAAAGTTGATGGATCCCAGTAGGTGTCTGTGTTTTGAATGTACCATAACGTGTGATTTCAAATATGCTCAACCTTTTTCAAAGATGTCTGAAAAAAATAATTTTACTTACTTTCCAGACAAACTGGTCAAGGAATCTCAAAAGGATGTAGTACCTTTGCCAGTACGAGTGTCCACCCAGTGATGTACAAAGACTGCTCTTGAGGTGTCCAATGCGTTCGTCCGTTCTGGTTGACAGGATGCCGAGCGTGTCCAACAAGGGATATGTCTCCACGTACTCCTCGTCCTACCGGCCAACCTCCTCCTCCTCCTCCTCTGCCTACACCAGGACACCAAGCACCACCCGCAAATACAGCACGCCATCATTCAACCTCGACTCCTCATCCTCATCCTCATCTACGTATAGGAGACGTCTTCCAGTCGGCCCAGGGCCACTTGACTCATCCGGCCGAAAATTGTCCGAATACAGTGTACGAAATCGAACCCCATCTAGCACACGGAATGGTCCCCTCAAAGCTGATTATTCACCCAGTAGTAATCGGGATAACGACTACTCGTATGGTACACTGTCGAACAGGAGAACGGGGTATTCAAACCATGAGTTTGGGACACCGAGTCGATTGTCGGGAAGAAGGTCTGCCAGTTTAGCCAATCTGAATGATATCGAAAACTTGCATATTGGTGAGACAAGTAAGTATAATGCTCGTAATGAGAGGGACTATTCGTCGAGCACTTACGGCACGACTCCACGACGTAGCACCTATTATCGGGACGAGGATATCCTTGCAGGGTCAAGTCGGACATCATCAAGGGCAAGTCGGATTTCCGTGTCTGTTGATCGGGAGAATTTGAATTCAACTGGATACATGCCACGGACTTTGTCACGGAATGTGTCACATGATACGAGCCCTGTACGGGAACGTGCGGCAACTCCTACAAGAAGATACAGTACGGATGCTCGTGAGAGTCCCTCCATCCCCAAGTCGGTCTCAAGGCAAGGCTCAAATAGCTCACTGTCTGTAAGTATGATATATAGGAATGGGTACGAGAGGTTCCACATGATCAAAGAGTTTGACCCTGTCAGCAAGCTGACAAGGTAAGGATGCTACAATGCTTGCTACAATGGCTGACAAAATGTAGTTAGATACATGTATAAAATGATCTGGTCATCCGTGCAATGAAGTCGACTAAAGCTTTATCTATACTAGGGATTGGTATTAGAGGTTTAATATGTATCACAATATTTTGAAATGCACAAGGCCGTATTGCGATAAGTATCATGATATATTGTATAATTCGAAGTTTTTTATTCAGAAGCATGATACATTAAGGTATGAACTGAAGTTCATAAATCGAACAAAACAAGATGCTGGTACAATATAATATTTTCTCAGTCAATAAATACGCAGTCATCTTGGGGCTCCGGATGCATGTGCCAGGACATAACATTAAACACATCATTAAAATCGCTATTTTAAATCATGTGATATAAGTAAACTACGGCTATTACGAACACGCTTATAACGAACTGACAGACATAACAAACTCACTTTTTTGGTCCCGACTATTTGCTGTAGTTATGCTGTATATATTCTTATAACGAACTACGGTTATAACGAACTAAAATTAGTAGTCCCTTTGAGTTCGTTATGACCGTAGTTTACTGTACCTTAATGTATCGAATTGCTTCTGATTTCAAAATTTTGAATTATACAATATATTGTGATATGTATCGCAATAAGGCCTCGTGCATTGCTAAATATTGTGATACATATTAAACCTCAAATACCCATCCCTAGTAAAGATAAAGCTTTTATCGACTTCAGCGCATGGATGACCAGATCATTTTATACATGTATCTAAATACATTTTGTCAGCCATTGTAGCAAGCATTGTAGCATCCTTACCTTGTCAGCTTGCTGACAGGGTCAACCTCTTGGACATTTTATGACCGCTACACATGCGAAGGAGTCAGCTGTCTGACTAACACTTATAATGATGAACTCAATAATTGTCATGAATAACATACCGTATTTGACGTAATAAGCGCCCCGCTCTAATAAGTGCCCATGGCGATATTTGCTAATATATTGGCCAGTGAACAATCCTAATTAGCACCCTTTCCGATTAATCACTGTTAATCAATGTACACAAGACTTATCTTTTCACGTAAAATACGCACTCATCTGTTATATGCACACTTAATTATTGGCAATTAAATTCTGGAAAAATATATCTGTTGTACATAAACATTTCAGGCTGCCAGCATAAACCACGAAATTAATCTTTTAACTCTGTTTTTTTTCACTAAAATATTATTCTAATAAGAGCCCCCTATTTCTAATTTTGAGAGCGCCCGAGGCGCTTATTACGCCGAATACGGTATATCTGGTATGTTTAAGCAGGAAACCTGTGTATAAGAGTTATTATTCATCCCCAAAACAATCAGTAATGACTCTTTGTGTCTTGGTAACCTGTGTAGCTTCTTTTTTTTCAGGGAGCCTTGTCTAAAAACACAAATGGTGGCAAAGTTGGTCTTCGGAATCTTGGCAATACGGTAAGTCACAACCCAAATGGTAAAAGTTAACAATTTCGTCGGTCCCAAGCTTCAAATACTACTGGACCAACCCTTTGAAGCTGTTTAGAGAGAAGCTGTTTCATTTTCTGAATGAAAACAGCATTTATGCAATCTCAATATTTATCTCAGTCACAGTAAAGAATATGTTCAGTACAGAGTAAGCTCTTTCAGGTGAATGGACCTAATATTAACCCTGCACATTTTACATTGTTTTTTTGTCAACTTACTCCTTGTGTGAAATCCTATGGCTTTGTATACAGGTTTAAAAGTCATTGTAATATACTTCCAGTGGGGGCGGTCGGGTAGCCTAGTGGTTAAAGCTTTCGCTTTTGACACCGAAGACCCGGGTTCGATTCCCGACATGGGTACTATGTGTGAAGCCGATTTCTGGTGTCCCCCGCCGTAATATTGCTGGAATATTGCTAAAAGTGGCGTAAAACCATACCCACTCACTCACTAGTTCCAGTGATTAAAATCATAATGGCAGTTAAGATAACTTCCTGCGGAATAGGACCGTGTCTGTGGTTCAGCTTCATGGCGCCTCTGTCCGGAGAGTGCAGGGTCGGTGATTCCACCCCAGGCCCTGTCGTACCAAAGGCTTCTGTGATGGTACTTGTTGTTGCCCATGCCTGGGGCTTGGCATTAAGAGGATAAAACAAGCCGGTCCGGAGTCAGTATACTGCGTCTATGTGGGGAATCCCATGTTAAACTGAAGCATGGTAGTTTGGTCAGCTAGCACTATAATAATGGTTTAAGTCCGGACTAGTACAAGCAAGCATACACCCACTGCATGCACATTACTTCAAAAGTGAAATACCGTATTCGACGTAATAAGCGCCCAGGGCGCTCTCAAAATTTAGAAATGGGGGGCTGTTATTAGAATATTATTTTGGTGAAAAAAACAGAGTTAAAGGATAAATTTCGTGGTTTATGCTGACATCCTGAAATGTCTATATACAACAGATATATTTTTCCAGAATTTAATTGCGTAAACCACGAAATTGATCTTTCAACTGTTTTTTTTTTCCAAAATAATTTTCTAATAAGAGCCCCTATTTCTAATTTTGAGAGTGCCCTAGGTCCTTATTATGTCGAATACGGTAATGATTATCTACTCTAGAATGGATTTACAAATGCCGGCCTGCAAGTTTCACAGTCACAATGATGAGTCACCAGCCCACCTAGCTTGTTGGGAGAAAGACTTATTCCTGTCACTGAAGACAAGAAAAAGAATTGTTTGGCCTTAGGGTCTGTCCGAAGATAATCTTCTATTAAACAACTCCTAACATTGCCAAGCTCACAATACCTCTCTAAACAGCATGATAGACTCATAACTGTACCAGGAAATGTAATTGCAAAGTTCACTGTAGGGAGCTAGCAGATCAGCTCCATGGGCAGATGAGTGTTTGTCCTGATGCTTGTGGAATATTGGTAATTAGAGACCTGAGAGATTTGATTGGCTTTTACTGGAATGATAAGTCTGACATGAAGTGTACGTGGGGGATAGCGATATTGATTCCTGGGAGCAGGGGTTCTTTGGGAACACAGGTGTTGCATGTGGAAGTGCTGTCTGCAAGGATCACCGTGGTCGTTAGTGCTTAGGTTTGTTTGATTTCCATGAAGGATGTAACACTGGGATGTGTGCTACGCAGTGTCCAGGTGTAAATACAGGTGGCGGAGTGGATTCTATTATTGGGAAGTAATCTGAAATTGATTTTGCTTCGGTTTTGAGATCTTGTGGTTGTTTTCCAAGTTCCTCGTGTAAGAGTGCCATTGACACATTGAAAATAGTATTGACAAGGATAACATAAGTCCTGGGCCCACTTGCACAGAGCGATCTTAGCGCTAAGATGATCGTATCTCCCATACTTCAGCATAGGCTTACAATAGTCTTAGCGCTAAGATCGCTTTGTGCAAGTGGGCCCTGATGTATGAAAGGCAGGAAGGGAAACCTTGAGTATTGGTTTTGAATTAAGTACGGTACCTTGTGATGGTGTTTAATAATTATATTTATTATTTCAAGCCAATGATAATTGCACTTTATCATCCCAAACTGGCTCCCACAGGAGATATCGCTTGGATGAGATCAAGCGATATCTACACTGTAGATATCGCTGCAATGAAATTACATCACAATGCTTTGCAGACCATTGTGACATCACTGGTTACCATGACATCACAATCAAATGACATCACAATCAAATGACATCACTAATGGCTCTGCTGCTGAAGCTGCTAGCAGTACTTTTTACACTGAAGACACTGCTAATTAATGTCTACAAATTGAAAAAGTTGGAAGAATGATGTTGGATGATAAATAAAATATCACCTCGGAATTTTTCCACTTTTATCAACTCGTGTTGATATATTTGATATCAAAAGACACTCGGCTGAAATTCTCTATTTCACAATTGAAAGTATTGAACTTTTTGTATGCTGAGAATTTGAGAATATTTTGATTTAATCTACCGCTCCAACCATGCCAGTTGAAGAAAGAATGGTATTAGTTTGAGTTCTGTGGTACTGGTTGTGCTTATTAACATGATTAAGCGGCGCCAAAAACATTTTTTATGTGGTGATGGGCAAATTACTGTGTTAACCATTTGTCAATTATTTTTACATAATTATTTCTATTAATTTTTAAATATATTTTAACCCCAAATGGTTTATCTCAGTATGTGAGATAACTGCTTGGCCGCCTGCCCGTGGCTGGTAACTTTTCTGTTGGGCTGCATGAAATATTTCTGCACCTCCCCGACTGTCTGGCAGATAGGACTACTCAGCTTTGTTATAACTCCTTGTAGATTCTCAAGTGATTATTTGCAATATTTCAACTGAATCAAGACGTAATTTGCGAATTTGCAATATTTATTATGTCTGAATCTGGGCAGGTAACTTTTCTGTTGGGCTGCATAAAATTTTGTCAACCTCCCCGACTGTCTGCCAGATAGGACTACTCAGCTTTGTTATAACTCCTTGTAGATTCTCATGTAATTATTTGCAATATTTCAACTGAATCAAGACGTGATTTGCGAATTTTCAATATATATTATGTCTGAATCAGGGCAGGTAACTTTTCTGTTGGGCGGCATAAAAAATTTTCCACCTCCCCGACTCTCTGGCAGATAGGACTACTCAGCTTTGTTATAACTCCTTGTAGATTCTCAAGTGATTATTTGCAATATTTCAACTGAATCAAGACATGATTTGCTATTTTCAATATATATTATGTCTGAATCTGGACAGGAAACGTTGAAGATGGGCAGGCAACATTTATGGGTCACCTGCCCTGACTGTATTTAGGGGTTTTAAAATTATTTCAAACACTGGTTTGTCTAAAGGAAAATATCATAATTGAAAGATGAGATACATTTGTTTGAGTAATGTAAGTTCATGTACGTATGTTGCAATGCAGTGATGTCATAGGTTAAAGAATGTAAGGCGATACCTGTATTCTTTTTTAGTAGTTTTACCATAAGCAAACCATAACCTCTCATAAACTTTTAATGAATTCACTCTTTGCTTGATGTTGACGCCCAGTCTCTGATTATTTGACTTTTAGTTTGTGATAAGTGCTTTCATCGCTTGATATTATAGAGTGACTTGCAGTATGTCACTAATGGACATATGGTACACGTCAGGTGCAGCTGTGCTTTAAACATGTAGAGAATCTCACCACTGGTTCGATAAAAGTTCAAAGCTCTGAAGGGGGCATGGGTGGCCCAGTCGTCTAAGGCGTCGCGATTCGCTGTGCAGAGTTGCGTTCCTTGGGCACGCCAGAAACCTATGATTGTGGGTTCGAATCCCGGTTCGCCCCGATTATGTTTCTAGGTTTGTCAGCACCATACCCGTGCTCGTGGGTTTCACCGAAGTGGTAAACGTCTGAGACCTACATCACTTTGGGCTTTCCTCCCACATTAAGCTGACACGCTGTGATATAACTGGAATACTGTTAAAAGTGGTGTTAAACCCAACTCACTCACTTACACATAGATTTCACAATAGTGGTTAACCTTCAGGCTATTGTCCCATGTCAATTTGAAACCCCATACTGTAACTGACATGCTGTTCAAAGTTGCATTGAACCAAACTCACTCACTCACTCAAAAAAAACATTTAAAGGGAAAGTTTTTAAGGGTCAGTGCAGGGTGTGGAATTGACATGTTCAAATTGTTTGTATCTCATTTTGTCAGGAACGTGATCTACACATGTAAATATGTTTGTGGGCAAGTAAGTTTGTCTTCCTTTGCTGTAGAGGATCAGCGTGATGTGTCAGTGTTACATGAATGTCTCTTGTATTGCAGTGTTTCATGAACACTGTGATCCAGTGTCTGAGCAACACACGGCTGCTACTTGAGTACTGTCTGAAGGACGACTACCTGATGGACATCAACACCACCACCTCCAGCATGAAGGGGGCCATCATGAAAGGTAGCATTGTTTGTAAAGTTGCAAAAAATTGAAGATGAAATGACCCAAATACAGCCTTGGTGCAACATCCCTTCCTCATCACAACTTCCTGTCTCACCACAACTATCTGCCTCCACCAACTCCCTGCCTCACCACATTTTCCTGCCCAAACACAACCCCTTGTCTCACCCCAAACTCTCTGCCTCACCACCAACTCCCTGCCTCACCACCAACTCCCTGCCTCACCACCAACTCCCTGTCTCACCACCAACTCCCTGCCTCACCACCAACTCCCTGTCTCACCACAACTCCCTGCCTCCACCAACTCCCTGCCTCACCACATTTTCCTGCCCCACCACAACCCCTTGTCTCACTCCCAACTCTCTGCCTCACCACCAACTCCCTGCCTCACCACCAACTCTATGCCTCACCACCAACTCCCTGCCTCACCACCAACTCCCTGCCTCACCACCAACTCCCTGTCTCACCACAACTCCCTGCCTCACCACCAACTCCTTGCCTCACCACAACTCCCTGCTTCACCACCAACTCCCTGCCTCACGACAACCCCGTCTCGCCCCAACTCCCTGACTAGCCCCCAACTCCCTGACTCGTCCCCAACTCCCTGACTCGTCCCCAACTCCCTGACTTGCCCCCAACCCCCTGCCTCACCACCAACTCCCTGTCTCACCACCAACTCCCTGCCTCACCACAAACTCCCTGCCTCCACCAACTCCCTGCCTCACCACATTTTCCTGCCCCACCACAACCCCTTGTCTCACTCCCAACTCTCTGCCTCACCACCAACTCCCTGCCTCACCACCAACTCCCTGTCTCACCACAACTCCCTGCCTCATCACATTTTCCTGTCTCACCACCAACTCCTTGCCTCACCACAACCCCTGTCTTGCCCCCAACTCCCTGCCTCACCACAACCCCCTGCCTCACCACCAACTCCCTGCCTCACCACATTTTCCTGCCCCGCCACAACCCCTTGTCTCACCCCAAACTCTTTGCCTCACCACCAACTCCCTGCCTCACCACCAACTCCATGCCTCACCACATTTTCCTGCCCCACCACAACCCCTTGTCTCACCCCAAATTCTCTGCCTCACCACCAACTCAATGCCTCACCACAACCCCCTGCCTCACCACAACTCCCTGCCTCACCACAACTCCCTGTCTCACCACAACTCCCTGCCTCACGACAACTTCCTGCCTCGCCCCCAACTCCCTGCCTCACCACCAACTCCCTGCCTCACCACAACTCCCTGCCTTGCCCCCAACTCCCTGTCTCACCACCAACTCCCTGCCTCACCACAACTCCCTGCCTCACCACAACTCCCTGTCTCACCACACACCCCTGCCTCACCACAACCCCCTGCCTCACCACCAACTCCTTGCCTCACAACAACTCCCTGCTTCACCACAACCCCTTGCCTCACCACAACTCCCTGCCTAACCACACACCCCTGCCTCACCCAAACCCCTGCCTCACCACACCTCCCTGCCTGACCACAACTCCCTGCCTCACCACAACTCCCTGCCTCACCACAACTTCCTGCCTCGCCCCCAACTCCCTGCCTCACCACCAACTCCCTGCCTCACCACAACTCCCTGCCTCACCCCCAACTCCCTGTCTCACCACACCTCCCTGCCTGACCACAACCCCCTGCCTCACCACAACTCCCTGTCTCACCACACCCCCTGCCTCACCACAACTCCCTGTCTCACCACACACCCCTGCCTCACCACAACTCCCTGCCTCACCACAACTCCTTGTCTCACCACACACCCCTGCTTCACCACAACTCCCTGCCTCACCACACACCCCGGCCTCACCACCAACTCCCTGCCTCACCACAACTCCCTGCCTCACCACACACCCCTGCCTCACCACAACTCCCTGCCTCACCACACACCCCTGCCTCACCACAACTCCCTGCCTCACCACAACTCCCTGCCTCACCACACACCCCTGCCTCACCACAACTCCCTGTCTCAACACACACCCCTGCCTCACCACAACTCCCTGCCTCACCACAACTCCCTGTCTCACCACACACCCCTGCCTCACCACAACTCCCTGTCTCACCACACCCCCTGCCTCACCACAACTCCCTGCCTCACCACACACCCCTACCTCACCACAACTCCCTGCCTCACCACAACTCCCTGCCTCACCACAACTCCCTGCCTCACCACACACCCCTGCCTCACCACAACTCCCTGCCTCACCACAACTCCCTGCCTCACCACACACCCCTGCCTCACCACAACTCCCTGCCTCACCACAACTTCCTGTGTGTTTCAGCCTATGTGAACATCATGCAGTCTATGTGGAAGGACCGATCAGACACCTACATCAGCCCCAATGCCTTCAAGACCCAGGTCCAGAAGTTTGCCCCTCGATTCATGGGTTATGCGTGAGTAGCACTTGAATATCTCTCATAAAATGTTGGACTGCCTCCGTGGTCTAGTACATAGAGTATCTGCCAGGAGAGTGGAAGGGCGGTGGTTCGATTCCTGGCCCCATAATACCAAAAGATGTCAGAAGATGGTACATGTTTTTACCCTGCCTGGTGCTGGGCATTAAGGGGATATAAACAAGACTGGTGAACTCGGAGTAAATATACTGTGTCTGAGTTGGTGCCCATTTTCAGGCATGACAGTAAGCTCGTACTATAAACAGTGAACAGAAGGAAACAGTTGTTCTTGGTTGGGTTTGGTATAGCTCGTCCAAAGACACTTGATTAATATGGAAGTGCCCGCCCAAACACACCCGTTGCGCATGTTCTTTTTTTTGTAAATCTTGTACGTGTCATGCTCTGATGTGACAGATCACTAGGTTGAACGGAGTAACATTTTGGAGTTGACAGTTTTTCATGTGGGACAAAGACGTCCTTAGAACTCCAGGCATTTTCTAATGTTAGCATGAACTTCCATAGTCGGGAGGTTGAGGCCGCTTTGTGATAGAGAGTGGTCAATTATTCACTTTCGTTGGGTATACGAAAGCGTGTCATTTTGGGGGTTTGGTCAGTGTGGCAAGGAAGGATTGTGTTTCTATCTTTAGTCTAATTAAAATGTCCGACATGATATTTTTGACTTGTTGTTTACTTAACGGGGAATAAAAAGTGCTTCATTCCCAAACAGCATTAGCCGAGACTGGTACATGCAGCCATTGCACACATCGCCCTCTTATTAGCTACTGACCGGTCATATATGCGACAGAATTTTAATATTAGCGCCCTTATTTGAACTTTGGTTTGGGTCTCTAATTATTGTCATCTTTACTGTAGAATTTATTGATGTGTAGCTGGAAGTCCTTGAGAAAGCTGTCCATATTCCATAGCACATCTTCGGCATGTAGACACTGCAATATCACAAACTATGCTCAGTCTTTATTTTATTTTTTTGCAAATGGAAGACATTGCGTTTTCACCTAAAGTCCAGTCTCATAACATATGCATCCAATGAAGACCAATTGTGTAGTAGCTCCGGACATACTGCATAGGATGCGCTATTGCTTTGTTTTTATACTATGGTGGTGTTTGGAGTATTGACTTTGTTGTTTGACAGTGACTTGCCTGGTTTCTGTATTTCGTCTAAAACATCCAAGCAGTGCTTCCCATTTCCTGAACGACACTATGGGTACAATGTGTGAAGCCCATTTCTGTTGTCCCCCGCCGTGATATTGCTGGAATATTGCTAAAAGTGGCGTAAAACCATACTCACTCACACTCACTGAACGACACTATGAAATACTTCCGACCCTAATGTTTTGTCACTATTAAGTTGCTCTGCCAGTTTGCCGATTGCAATGAAACTTGTATAACTGCACTTTTTCATCTGTGTCAATGTACATTTTGATAGTACCTTGCAGTCGTGTGAGGTTTCAGTTGTGTTAAATTATTATACCATGTACAGTGCAAAGTTTACAAACTTCTGACATGCTTTCAGGGTTAGAAATTGGCACTCGTCCTATAGTCCTTGCCAAACTGCCCAATGGTAAAGGTATCATAAGGACTAGTAGAAAATTGCCATTTTTAAGGGTTTTGCTATTTATCATTATATGGACTAGTGGACGAAAGCTGTTAGTTTCTAACGCTGGCTTTACTTGCTATTTCATCTTTGCACAGCTAAAAGACCGACCGTACCACCAAATGTTGAGTGAAAATAATGACAGTAACTTTGAAATAATAGTGATGGTGGACGCTGTTCCGAGCCGATGGACACAAATGAAGACAGACTTTGTGGTTGAAAGTTCAAAAGGAAAGTTAGGCTATACATTATCTGAGTGTGAAAAGCTTGAATTTCAGTGATATTTGTTCAGACAATCCAAAAGACTTGAAGTCGACTGAGACAGGCCTCAGGTTCTTCTTATGGCCCAGAATCAAATAGATCTACAACCCAAATTCTGAAAACAATATCATTTGCTTTGTTGACAAGTACAAGAAATGGATAGGAGTTAGACAGTATTTGTCAAACTTTTGTAATTTGTAACCCATGATTTGTTTCATTCTTTTAGCACACAAGCTATAAGAAGTGTTGGTTAGTGATGTGGGACAAGGGAGATAATTTGATAATAATGATGAAATTATCTCCCTTTTACCTTGGTGCTTCGGTTGGTACAGGCAGTTGTGCAGAGTTGCATCCCTTGGGCATGACAGTGAGTGAGTGAGTGAGTGTGTTGGGTTTAACTCTGCTGTTAACAGCATTCCAGTTATATCACAGTGTGTCAGCTTAATGTGGGAGGAAAGCCCCAAGTGATGCAGGTCTCAGACGTTTGGTGAAACCCAAGAGCATGGGTATGGTGCTGACAAACCTAGAAACATAATTGGGGCGAACCGGAATTCGAACCCACAATCATAGGTTTCTGGCTTGCCCAAGGGACGCAACTCTGCACAATGAATCGCAGCACCTTAGACGACTGGGCCACAATCACCCACCTAAAGATTCAAATCCTGGTTTGACCTTATTATATATCTGGGGTTGCCAGCACCATAGCTTGTCGACTTATATGTTTCTAGCACAGACTGAAACTTACTAGAACTTTCAAGCATTGTTTTCAGATATTAATCTAGGAGTTCGAACTAAGTGTCCTTGGCAGACAGTGGGAAAAAACAGATTGTTCAAAAATAATTTTTTTTTTTTTTTTCATTATTATCTAAACTCAGTGTTTTAACATTGTATTCATTGCAATGACATTAAACTAAGGATAAAAGCCTATATGCCATTACACTACCATTATCATTGAAATGCAAATCACCTCTACAATGTGATAGGGGTGGTCGGGTAGCCTAGTGGTTAAAGCGTTCGCTCGTCCCGCCGAAGACCCGGGTTCGATTCCCGACATGGGTACAATGTGTAAAGCCCATTTCTGGTGTCCCCCGCCGTGATATTGCTGGAATATTGCTAAAAGCAGCGTAAAACCATACTCACTCACTCACTCACTCACTCTACAATGTGATAACTGTTGTTGAATATTTTGGGTTGGGAAGTGATTATTTCCAATTTACAGAATGTTTACTGACATTTGTTGCAGACTTAGAGCCGAATATCATCCTCTGAGCAGGTCTAAAAAGACTCCTGATAGGTCGCGTCCACAATCATCGATTTCAAGTATTTCTGAAACTTCTTTCCATGTATGTCAGAAATTTGAATGCGCCCTTGGGCCATGTTGTATTTTCCAGACAACAAGATTCTCAAGAGTTTCTGCGGTACCTCCTTGAGGGGTTGCATGAGGACGTCAACAAGGTGACTGAAAAACCCAAGCCTATTGTGTTGGAGGACAACAAGCTGGAGAGAAAGAGGTACACACACCACACTGAGGTCACATGTAAAACTGGCTGAAACAGTAGAAGCCATCTCTATCTCAGCAAGCCTTGGTGGAGAAGCTAGACAGATAAGATGCCGCACTTGGTGTCATATTGAGATGGCATTACTCCGAGACAGTTAACTCAGCGGTAGAAATTGGCACTTGTCGTATAGTCCTTTCCAAACTGCCCAATAGTTAAGGTATCATAAGGACTAGTAGAAATTTATCATTTTTAAGGGTTTTGCTTTATGTTATCATTATAAGGACTAGTGGTAAAAAAATGTTACTTTCTACCACTGTAATAATTCCATCCTCTATTGTCGACTGTAGCATATCTGCATTCTTTATTGATTAACCGTGACAGCCTTTGAAATTTGTGCTAGTCGAGATGGGTCTAATTACTGCCCCCAATTGTATATCTCATGCCCCTTGCCGTGATATTGCTGGAATATTGCTAAAAGTGGCATAAAATCAAGTTCACTCACTCACCCACCCTAATAGTACTACATTGTGATAATCTGTTGCATAATGGAATTTTTGCGGTGTCTTCTTTCAGTGACAATGAAAAGTCTCACGAGTATTGGCGAGCCTACCTCAACTTTGACAACAGTAAGATTGTCGGTGAGTTCATATGTCCCTCCTTGATCAAAGGACTGGAAATTGATGAAACTCATTATAAATTATCTCTAAGAGGTTGGTCTCATTTGTTACAATTTTTGGGAGACATCCATATTAGGAGTTCACTAGAGGTCAAGTCTTGAAACATTCAAATCTTTTGAAATTTCGGATTAAGTCATCTCAATTAAGATGACTTCAAAGTTTCTCTCTCAACAAAAAAGTCACTTCACATAAGAACACCCCACATCACTGGGATGTGCAGTGTCTGCTCTGGCTTAAATTTTCTTGGGGTCACTTGGACCCCTTCATCATAAAATTAGGGGTCCCAAACAAAAATGGAGGGGTCCAATTTATAGCATTATAACATAACATTAACAACAGAACACAGTGGTTGTGAAAAATAAGAAATCTTTTCGCAACTGCAAAATATCAACAAACAGGCAAAGTGAGAGAAAGGTTCACATCAGGGCACATCCTGCTCTCATAACCAAGAGGTTTACATTAAGGGACAAACAATTTCTTAAAAGGGACATTTGATATTAATGAATATTATAACACAAAATTATCCATGTTAATATCTAACTTCGTATATGAAAAGGCAGTACACGGGTCAGCCATTGGTAAGGGGTCATTGTGACAGACATTTATGAATGTTTTTACCGAGATCTACCAATGATTTGAAGTTATGGATTCAGTTAAGTTCAATGGCTGTTCTGATGCTACTGTACTGAGTATTGAGTTCATGTTGTAACTGTGACAATGATCAATGAGTCATAAAATATAATTGGCATATCGAACGTTTTTTTAGTAAGAGTATGTTCAGGATCCAGCATTTCCTTGATAAATCTAGTCAACATGTTTCAGGTGCTATAAATGTTTAAACATGTCAGTTACACCAATAATAGTCCTGGCAAAATGTGTTTTGCAATTCTTAATATGACTCACAAGATATTGAATTATTATCAGCTTGATAAGTCTGTTGTAGAATAACTAAATATTCAGAGTCCGCTAAATAAAAACAATGCTTACATCATTGTACATTCAAGTGTTCGCATTCATTCTTTATCATATACAGTATCGCGGTATTGATAAATCTCGTAATCCACACAACCTGTCGACTGTTTACTTATGCAAATCTAAGCACGATATATTTCATCGCATGATCGAATACAGGACTCGTTGCGGTATGTCACGGCTACTTGTACACACGTTAACTTTTTTTATGACAGTTCCTGGGATGTTTTTGAAGTGGAATTACCCCTTCCTCCATTCAAAATTGATTAGAAAAAGAACCCATTTGTTCAAACGAAGTCCCTCGACAAAACCTCGGTCGTATGCAAAATTCAAAACAGGAAGTGATATACCATATAATCCACACAGCCTTACTTACTGCGGTAAGATTCACCAATGACTGGTACTTTGTTAACCGAACTTGGTAAAGAAAATCAGCATCAATCAATCCAATGAACAACAAACATTTTGTGAATCACATATTTAATAAGTTTGTAAGCGTGCCCCACTACGATCAATTATAAATTAACTACCGCGATAACATAGCGTATCATCCTACACGGTCGCTCGATTTCGCGGGTCACTGTTACCAGGTTCTGAAGTATACCCTTGATGTGCCTGGCTATTTTTAGTTTGACACAAGGTCAGGATATTTTCGACCAATCAGCAAGCTAAATTAATTACAACTATATCCGACTTGCTTAATATGTGGCACCTGATTGGCTGAAGCAAAGCTACGGACCATACCGAAAATTAATACATGCAAAACCGACAATAGATATAGGTCAAGAAACTGGTTTGGGTATTTGTCATAAAAAGGGAGAGAATAATGAAACTGGTTTGGTTTAGCAAACGGAAGTGTTAATCAACATGCTTCGCTGTCTTGTTTGGCAACAAATACCTTTACGCAAAGACGTACGTCTTTGATTTACGATAACAGTGTCATTTCGATATGAAATTAATATAGCCCCAGTCACTGCGTCCACGAGACCCACACATGTTACGCAGGTGCGTTCAAACTTATTTTTGTGCGTCCAAGACGCAAAAACGCGCTCTTCAGCCAACACTGGATGTGAACCAGTGGGGATCCTGATTTGGAGAAGGTCCCTAGCAACCTATGCTGGCCTTAAGAGATGACTTAGTGTATTGGGTGGTCAGACTCGGTGACATTTTGATGGCATTGTACCCCAATGATGTGGATCTTTGCTCATATTATCATTTACTTGATTGTGTGGTCCAGACTTGAATAAATACAGGCCATCATCATATAGGTGGAATACTGGAGACTGCTGCATTAAACAACAAACAAATTATAACATGATTGTGTGTTGGATTCCAGATTAGCCCTGATCATGATCCTTGGTTGGTTGGAATATTGTTGAGGGCGACTTTGAGCAACAGACACAAACACACACACATACATACACAGGCACACACGCAGACACACATACAGGGAGACAAAAACACAGAGAAACACACAGACACACCCACAAGCAGAGACAAACACAGACACACACACATTTATTTAGCACTCAAAACGATGCTGTCATTTTGTTAGGAGTCTTAGAATGCATTTGGGAGGTTTCATAAACAGTCATGCTTAAAAGATATGTGTGTCATATTTAACTGGTGTCTTCAGATGTGTGAGTTTCTCCCATTTCAGACATCTTCGTTGGCCAGTTAAAGAGTGAGCTCAAGTTCTCTCAGTGCGGACATCGCTCTGTGACCTTTGACCCCTTCTGGGATCTGTCACTGCCGATACCCAAGGTAGGATGCCGAGTGGTCTAGTGTTGTACAGGGCCTCGGTTCACAAAACAGTGTTTGTGCTACCAAAGTCTATGCTAGTGTAGACCAGTGAAGATCCGGGTAGAGAATAGGTCTTCAGCAATCCACCCTTGCCATAAGAGGTGACTATGCTTGTTGTGAGAGGCGACTAATGGGATCGGGTGGTCAGCTCGCAGACTTGGTTGATGCATGTCATCTTATCCCATTTGATTAGATTTATGCTCAGGATGTCAATCACTGGATTATCTTGATTTGATTATTTACAGACTGCCGTCATATAGCTGGAATATTGCTGAGTGTGCCTTGAAACAACAAAGAAAGTCAATGCTAAAGTATGGGAATAAGACAGTTGCAGCCCCATGACCTGATAGTGAAGCAGGGCTCTCCCTGACAGATATCTCAGGACGAGTTTGTCCCCCTTCATTTGATCTAAGGGATGTAGAGAATCACTCCAAGTGTCTTGCTTTCGAGGTTGTAAACTTTTATAGACTTGTGTTGATATATTTGATATAAACAACACAAGGGTGAGATTCTGTTTATCATCCCAAATCATTCTTCATCCTTTTCAAAAGACTAGCACCTTGACGTAAGACATTGGTGTGTTGCTCACAGAACAAGGCAGGTCCTTATGAGATCTAGTCTTGAATAGAACCTGTAATCACGGCTTCCTAGCAAGGATCCAACTCTGCACAGAGGTCAGCAACACCTGTACCCAGCAATGCAGCAAGGGCCTCTTGGTTTATTTGATGTGTTCAGAAGAACTGCAACCGAAAGTATATTTATTGTATGCCGAAAAGACAAAAGAATAATCCTTGTTGCTGTTGCAGAATCGAAGTGAGGTGAGCCTGGACGACTGCATCCGTCTCTTCATGAAGGAGGAGGAGCTGCAGGACGAACCGGTCAGTACACAGAGGTGTTGTTTGTAGGTTCTAAATATGATTGCCCATGGTCTACAACATTGTCACCATCGTGCAGTCACTGTTGAGGTTAACCACTCATTGTTGATGTGAGGTTGAGTGATGTCATAGTTGATGATGTCACACTCTATCACTGTTGATGTGAGATTGAGTGATGTCTTAGTTGATGATGTCACACTCTATCATTGTTGATGTGAGGTTGAGTGATGTCATAGTTGATGATGTCACACTCTATCATTGTTGATGTGAGGTTGAGTGATGTCATAGTTGATGATGTCACACTCTATCATTGTTGATGTGAGATTGAGTGATGACATAATTGATGGTGACATCACACTATTAGTGTTGAAACTCATGACACTATCTGACAGTTTTTGCTATGGTCCAGCCCTGATTATATACAGGTCATTGTCATACAGCATGAATATTGCTGAGTGCAGAATCAATCAAGAAACAAGACTTGTTCTATGGCATCAGTATGACACACATATAGATGTGATAACAACATTTATTACATACAGCAGGTATGTCTGAGAACTCGACTCACTCACAGACATTCCCGGAATTGTTCATCGTGTGTGTTGTGATCAGGCTCTGAGACTTGCATATCCAGGCCTGATTGTGTGCATCAGTTTTCATGCTATCCACCACTATTTTGCTGGATACAGACTTGATGATGTATACCACCATGATATAGCTGGAGTACTGCTGCGGACAACATGAAACAGCATTCATTCACTTGTGTGACTATTAATTAGACGTCTATACCAAGGGTATTGCCGAGACTTGTATAACTTTGTATAATCGATGTCTGTGTTCCAGATGTGTGCCAAGTGTAAAGAACGACGGCCCTGCACCAAGAGCTTCTCTATACAGAAATTCCCAAAGATTCTTGTTTTTCGTATCCTTTCACACAGATAACTTGTCTGATTATCATGGGGTCATGTGGGTAAAGATCTGAGGCAAACGTTGGCTGTGCAGAGTTGCATCCCTTTGCTGTGCCAGGATCAGTGTTATCTCCATTTATGGTACTTGATTTGTCAAAACCATACACATGCCCTTGGCTTTCACCGAGATGGCAAATATCTTTGACATGATATTAAAGCTGAAATACTGTTCAAGACAATTAAACCCAACTCACTCACTCACTCAATTTTCAAATCACATTACAGGCTGAATTTGTGAATTATGTTTTTTTAACTGTGTTTGTGTATGTGGTTGTAAAAGAAAAATAGAAAAAGTGTTTGTGGGTTGTGCCTTGACTTCCTCCCAGACTTAAAACGGTTCAGTCAGGAGAAGTTTGGGAGGAAACTAACGACCAGTGTGGAGTACCCCACCGCCAGGCTTGAACTCAAAGACTACGCTGCTGAGAGAGGTAAGGGGGAGGATCTCACTCTGAATACAGTGGGTACCAGGTAGCAGTGTACAAGATGGTTCAGGGAGAACTACCTTGGTGTACAACTTGTATGCTGTATATTTCAGGGGGCTCCGATATGGAGTACAACTTGTATGCTGTATATTTCAGGGGGCTCCGATATGGAGTACAACTTGTATGCTGTATATTTGAGGGGGCTACAATATGGAGTACAACTTGCATATATTTCAGGGGGCTCCAATATGGAGTACAACTTATATGTTGTATATTTCAGGGGGCTCCGATATGGAGTACAACTTATATGTTGTATATTTCAGGGGGCTCCGATATGGAGTACAACTTATATGTTGTATATTTCAGGGGGCTCCGATATGGAGTACAACTTGTATGCTGTATTTTTCAGGGGGCTCCGATATGGAGTACAACTTGTATGTTGTATATTTCAGGGGGCTCCGATATGGAGTACAACTTGTATGCTGTATATTTCAGGGGGCTCCGATATGGAGTACAACTTGTATGCTGTATATTTCAGGGGGCTCCGATATGGAGTACAACTTATATGTTGTATATTTCAGGGGGCTCCGATATGGAGTACAACTTGTATGCTGTATATTTCAGGGGGCTCCGATATGGAGTACAACTTGTGTATATTTCAGGGGGCTCCGATATGGAGTACAACTTATATGTTGTATATTTCAGGGGGCTCCGATATGGAGTACAACTTGTATGCTGTATATTTCAGGGGGCTCCGATATGGAGTACAACTTGTGTATATTTAAGGGGGCTCCAACATGGTGTACAACTTGTATGCTGTAAATTTGAGGGGGCTCCGATATGGAGTACAACTTGTATGCTGTATATTTGAGGGGGCTCCGATATGGAGTACAACTTATATGTTGTATATTTCAGGGGGCTCCGATATGGAGTACAACTTGTATGCTGTATATTTCAGGGGGCTCCGATATGGAGTACAACTTGTATGCTGTATATTTCAGGGGGCTCCGATATGGAGTACAACTTGTGTATATTTAAGGGGGCTCCAACATGGTGTACAACTTGTATGCTGTAAATTTGAGGGGGCTCCGATATGGAGTACAACTTGTATGCTGTATATTTGAGGGGGCTCCGATATGGAGTACAACTTATATGTTGTATATTTCAGGGGGCTCCGATATGGAGTACAACTTGTATGCTGTATATTTCAGGGGGCTCCGATATGGAGTACAACTTGTGTGCTGTATATTTCAGGGGGCTCCAATATGGTGTACAACTTGTATGCTGTCAGCAACCACTCCGGGGGAGTGCACTCCGGCCACTACACGGCAATATGTCGACATCCATACTCAGGGGAGTGGCAACTCTACAACGACACAAGGTCAGAGACTTAGAATGAAGCTGAACAAACCCAGACATCCTCAGTATAAGAGGGGCGGTCGGGTAGCCTAGTGGTTAAAGCGTTCGCTCGTCACGCCGAAGACCCAGGTTCGATTCCCGACATAGGTACAATGTGTGAAGCCCATTTCTGGTGTCCCCCGCTGTGATATTGCTGGAAATTGCTAAAAGCGGCGTAAAACCATAATCAGTCACTCACTCAGTACAAGACTGTAGAGTAAATGAGTAATCTGAGGGATGCGATTCCCTGTGCAGAGTTGCTTCCCTTTACTGATAAGATAATCCCCGTTGGAATGCCAGGTTAGAACAGCCCCCCCCTGCACCCTGTCCTTGTACAACATGGTGTCTTCATAGAGCAGGTTGTCAGACTCCGTGATGTGGGTGATTGCATGACCTTGTACCCTCATGGTGTGAATCGTTGCTCATTATGTCAATCACTTGATTGTCTGGCCCAGATTCGATTTTTACAGAGTTTGGCTTGAAATATACAAACGAACAATGTCTTGATCTACACTCTACAACCTGCATCACGGCAGGCTTTCCTACCTAGTTCAGCTGACACACTGTGATAGGACTTAAATACTGTTCAAAGCAGCGTTAAACCCAACTCACTCACTCACTCCTCCCACATCAAGCTGACACACCGTGATATTACTGGAATACTGTTAAAAGCGGAGTTAGACCCAACTCACTCACTCACTCCTCCCACATCAAGCTGACACACCGTGATATTACTGGAATACTGTTAAAAGCGGAGTTAGACCCAACTCACTCACTCACTCCTCCCACATCAAGCTGACACGCCGTGATATTACTGGAATACTGTTCAAAGCGGAGTTAGACCCAACTCACTCACTCACTCCTCCCACATCAAGCTGACACGCCGTGATATTACTGGAATACTGTTCAAAGCGGAGTTAGACCCAACTCACTCACTCACTCCTCCCACATCAAGCTGACACGCCGTGATATTACTGGAATACTGTTCAAAGCGGAGTTAGACCCAACTCACTCACTCACTCCTCCCACATCAAGCTGACACGCCGTGATATTACTGGAATACTGTTCAAAGCGGAGTTAGACCCAACTCACTCACTCACTCCTCCCACATCAAGCTGACACGCCGTGATATTACTGGAATACTGTTCAAAGCGGAGTTAGACCCAACTCACTCACTCACTCCTCCCACATCAAGCTGACACGCCGTGATATTACTGGAATACTGTTCAAAGCGGAGTTAGACCCAACTCACTCACTCACTCCTCCCACATCAAGCTGACACGCCGTGATATTACTGGAATACTGTTCAAAGCGGAGTTAGACCCAACTCACTCACTCACTCCTCCCACATCAAGCTGACACGCCGTGATATTACTGGAATACTGTTCAAAGCGGAGTTAGACCCAACTCACTCACTCACTCCTCCCACATCAAGCTGACACGCCGTGATATTACTGGAATACTGTTCAAAGCGGAGTTAGACCCAACTCACTCACTCACTCCTCCCACATCAAGCTGACACGCCGTGATATTACTGGAATACTGTTCAAAGCGGAGTTAGACCCAACTCACTCACTCACTCCTCCCACATCAAGCTGACACGCCGTGATATTACTGGAATACTGTTCAAAGCGGAGTTAGACCCAACTCACTCACTCACTCCTCCCACATCAAGCTGACACGCCGTGATATTACTGGAATACTGTTCAAAGCGGAGTTAGACCCAACTCACTCACTCACTCCTCCCACATCAAGCTGACACGCCGTGATATTACTGGAATACTGTTCAAAGCGGAGTTAGACCCAACTCACTCACTCACTCCTCCCACATCAAGCTGACACGCCGTGATATTACTGGAATACTGTTCAAAGCGGAGTTAGACCCAACTCACTCACTCACTCCTCCCACATCAAGCTGACACGCCGTGATATTACTGGAATACTGTTCAAAGCGGAGTTAGACCCAACTCACTCACTCACTCCTCCCACATCAAGCTGACACGCCGTGATATTACTGGAATACTGTTCAAAGCGGAGTTAGACCCAACTCACTCACTCACTCCTCCCACATCAAGCTGACACGCCGTGATATTACTGGAATACTGTTCATAGCGGAGTTAGACCCAACTCACTCACTCACTCCTCCCACATCAAGCTGACACGCCGTGATATTACTGGAATACTGTTCATAGCGGAGTTAGACCCAACTCACTCACTCACTCCTCCCACATCAAGCTGACACGCCGTGATATTACTGGAATACTGTTCAAAGCGGAGTTAGACCCAACTCACTCACTCACTCCTCCCACATCAAGCTGACACGCCGTGATATTACTGGAATACTGTTCAAAGCGGAGTTAGACCCAACTCACTCACTCACTCCTCCCACATCAAGCTGACACGCCGTGATATTACTGGAATACTGTTCAAAGCGGAGTTAGACCCAACTCACTCACTCACTCCTCCCACATCAAGCTGACACGCCGTGATATTACTGGAATACTGTTCAAAGCGGAGTTAGACCCAACTCACTCACTCACTCCTCCCACATCAAGCTGACACGCCGTGATATTACTGGAATACTGTTCAAAGCGGAGTTAGACCCAACTCACTCACTCACTCCTCCCACATCAAGCTGACACGCCGTGATATTACTGGAATACTGTTCAAAGCGGAGTTAGACCCAACTCACTCACTCACTCCTCCCACATCAAGCTGACACGCCGTGATATTACTGGAATACTGTTCAAAGCGGAGTTAGACCCAACTCACTCACTCACTCCTCCCACATCAAGCTGACACGCCGTGATATTACTGGAATACTGTTCAAAGCGGAGTTAGACCCAACTCACTCACTCACTCCTCCCACATCAAGCTGACACGCCGTGATATTACTGGAATACTGTTCAAAGCGGAGTTAGACCCAACTCACTCACTCACTCCTCCCACATCAAGCTGACACGCCGTGATATTACTGGAATACTGTTCAAAGCGGAGTTAGACCCAACTCACTCACTCACTCCTCCCACATCAAGCTGACACGCCGTGATATTACTGGAATACTGTTCAAAGCGGAGTTAGACCCAACTCACTCACTCACTCCTCCCACATCAAGCTGACACGCCGTGATATTACTGGAATACTGTTCAAAGCGGAGTTAGACCCAACTCACTCACTCACTCCTCCCACATCAAGCTGACACGCCGTGATATTACTGGAATACTGTTCAAAGCGGAGTTAGACCCAACTCACTCACTCACTCCTCCCACATCAAGCTGACACGCCGTGATATTACTGGAATACTGTTCAAAGCGGAGTTAGACCCAACTCACTCACTCACTCCTCCCACATCAAGCTGACACGCCGTGATATTACTGGAATACTGTTCAAAGCGGAGTTAGACCCAACTCACTCACTCACTCCTCCCACATCAAGCTGACACGCCGTGATATTACTGGAATACTGTTCAAAGCGGAGTTAGACCCAACTCACTCACTCACTCCTCCCACATCAAGCTGACACGCCGTGATATTACTGGAATACTGTTCAAAGCGGAGTTAGACCCAACTCACTCACTCACTCCTCCCACATCAAGCTGACACGCCGTGATATTACTGGAATACTGTTCAAAGCGGAGTTAGACCCAACTCACTCACTCACTCCTCCCACATCAAGCTGACACGCCGTGATATTACTGGAATACTGTTCAAAGCGGAGTTAGACCCAACTCACTCACTCACTCCTCCCACATCAAGCTGACACGCCGTGATATTACTGGAATACTGTTCAAAGCGGAGTTAGACCCAACTCACTCACTCACTCCTCCCACATCAAGCTGACACGCCGTGATATTACTGGAATACTGTTCATAGCGGAGTTAGACCCAACTCACTCACTCACTCCTCCCACATCAAGCTGACACGCCGTGATATTACTGGAATACTGTTCATAGCGGAGTTAGACCCAACTCACTCACTCACTCCTCCCACATCAAGCTGACACGCCGTGATATTACTGGAATACTGTTCAAAGCGGAGTTAGACCCAACTCACTCACTCACTCCTCCCACATCAAGCTGACACGCCGTGATATTACTGGAATACTGTTCAAAGCGGAGTTAGACCCAACTCACTCACTCACTCCTCCCACATCAAGCTGACACGCCGTGATATTACTGGAATACTGTTCAAAGCGGAGTTAGACCCAACTCACTCACTCACTCCTCCCACATCAAGCTGACACGCCGTGATATTACTGGAATACTGTTCAAAGCGGAGTTAGACCCAACTCACTCACTCACTCCTCCCACATCAAGCTGACACGCCGTGATATTACTGGAATACTGTTCAAAGCGGAGTTAGACCCAACTCACTCACTCACTCCTCCCACATCAAGCTGACACGCCGTGATATTACTGGAATACTGTTCAAAGCGGAGTTAGACCCAACTCACTCACTCCTCCCACATCAAGCTGACACACCGTGATATTACTGGAATACTGTTCAAAGCGGAGTTAGACCCAACTCATTCACTATCTCCTCCCACATCAAGCTGACACGCCGTGATATTACTGGAATACTGTTCAAAGCGGCGTTAAACCCAACTCACTCACTCACTCCTCCCACATCAAGCTGACACAACGTGAAATAACTGAAATACTGTTCAAAGCGAAGTTAGACCCATCTCATTCACTCCTCCCACATCAAGCTGACACACCGTGATATAACTGTAATACTGTTCAAAGCAGCGTTAAACCCAACTCACTCACTCACTCCTCCCACATCAAGCTGACACGCCGTGATATAACTGAAATACTGTTCAAAGCGGAGTTAAACCCAACTCACTCACTCACTCCTCCCACATCAAGCTGACACACCGTGATATAACTGACATACTGTTCAAAGCGGAGTTAAACCCAACTCACTCACTCTGTACACAGGATGCATATTCGTTCTATCTGTTTCAGGGTCTCACCAGCAAGGTCTAATCAAGCAGTGTCAAACGAAGGCTACCTTCTCTTCTATGAACAGGCAGACCACTAGTCACATGATCTGAATAAAGCTCACCGATTGGTTCCCACCTAAGTCACATGGCTAGTTTAAGTCATGTGATGAGAAACCTGTCTTGAACCAATCAGAGTTTGTCAGAGAAATGGCTCCATTCTATATAAGTTATTGTGTTTTGATGCATCTAGTTGGCAAGATTCTGTGATACTGATATGTTTACAAAGTGCTCCGGCCTACTTTACTTCTGTTAGCCGTGGCTGGTCACATATTTCTTAGTCCATGTGTAATGTCCCTCTGATATTTATTGAATGTTAAGCTTATTTTTTATGTTTAAAACAAAAGTAATGAAATGACAATTCATTTAATTAGAATGAGATGATGAAAATATTACCCAGCCAAAGTTTGTTTATGTTTGTGAATTTATATGAACTTTCAAATATCTTCCATTGGTTACAACCAAATTGTAATGCATAAGTGGTATGCATAATAGTTGTTTTTTACAATTGATTTAATCTATGTTTGTTTGCATTATAAGTGTCATTTGCATATATATTTATATACATAGATTAACAATCTTGCTTTGTGTAGGAGGGAAATGTTCCATTTGAAATATCAAAACTTGATATTTTACTTGGTGAAATGTTACAATGTTTACAAAGAGACCTGTTATGATAATATGATTGTCATATTAATATGTATGAAACCTGCCTTGTGATGAGATATTTGTTCATAACGCTTGTCTTGTAAACTCATGTCCATGGAGCACCATAGTTGAACACACCTTTAGCTGTTTTGAACACTTCTATGAATACATTCATTGTTTAACACATTTCTAACCGGTTTCAACACTTCTATGAATACATGCATAGTTTAACACATCTTTAGCTGTTTGGAACACTTCTATGAATACATGCATAGTTTAACACATCTTTAGCTGTTTGGAACACTTCTGTGAATACACCCATAGTTTAACACATCTTTAGCTGTTTGGAACACTTTTATGAATACGTCCATCCATAGTTTAACACATCTTTAGCTGTTTGGAACACTTCCATGAATACATCCATAGTTTAACACATCTTTAGCTGTTTTGAAAGTTCTGTGAATACACCCATAGCTTAACTCATCTTTAGCTGTTTGGAACACTTCTATGAATACATGATAGTTTAACACATCTTTAGCTGTTTTGAACACTTCTAAGAATACTTGCATAGTTTAACATATCTTCAGCTGTTTGACACGTCGCTATATAAGTGCAATAATCTTGGACGCGACGTTAAACCCCATTTCACCTCACCTTCAGCTGTTTGGAACACTTCTATGAATACATCCATAGTTTAACACATCTTTAGCTGTTTGGATTATTTCTGTGAATACAGGTGGTATAAATTATTTTCACACCAGATCCGTGGTTGTTAAGTTAAAATATTTTATAGACATTGTCTACCTTGATTAAAAGGAAAATTTACAAGTCAATCCAAAAACTCCAAACTTAGCATTCAAATTCTACGAATACATGTAGTATAAATTGTTATTTCGCCAGATCCGTGGTTGTTAAGTATTATATATGATGGACATTCTCGCCTTGACAAATGACTGGAATGTAGATTTACTGGTGAAAGCTAACAATGCAAACTGAGGATTGTCATTAGCGGTTCAAGCCACGGATTGATATACATGTAGTATAAATTGTTATTTCGCCAGATCCGTGGTTGTTAAGTATTATATATGATGGACATTCTCCGTCTTGACAAATGACTGGAATGAAGATTTACTGGTGAAAGCTAACAATGCAAACTGAGGATTGTCATTAGCAGTTCAAGCCACGGATTGATATACATGTAGTATAAATTGGTATCTCGCCAGATCCGTGGTTGTTAAGTATTATATATGATGGACATTCTCCGTCTTGACAAATGACTGGAATGAAGATTTACTGGTGAAAGCTAACAATGCAAACTGAGGATTGTCATTAGCAGTTCAAGCCACGGATTGATATACATGATAAAAATGAAGCGTTTTCTTGAAAAGAACCTAAAATATTTGTCAAGGTCATTGATCGTTCTGAACATTGCTTCTTGTGAAATGAAAGAGAGTTTTCTATGTGCTCCATGTTGGGTGATGGGCAGGTTTTATACATTGACAGTACTACCTCTGGTAATGGTGTTACCAACCCTTCTGGTATGGAGGTGTGTATAATGTGTAATTTTGCTAGCCTTCAAGCTGCCTCAGTCATCCCATCTCAAGCTAGTGGGCTGGAGCTAATTTCTTTCCCTGTTAATGCTTTGATAAAAATTAGTATTTCTGAATATTTTGACAGAATTGATGCATGTTCGGAAAGGTTAAGATATAATTTTTGCAAAATGTAAATTGTTATGTTCCTCATGATAATACCACTACCTTGAAGTATTCTGGATTAAATGGCCTCGATTGTAAAACAAGGAATTAATGGATTTAGATGATGTTGATGATGTTGGTTAAGGATAATCAACGTAATGTCACAGTTGTTTGTTTTGTGAGTGTGACATCGCATGTTACTGATTGATTGCCATTTTCATTACGAAATTAACACAATAGTGAGTTTTATGTTTTATTTATTGCATTTTAGCTGACTTGGCAAATTTTGAATGCATTGATTTGAATGTAGGCCAGAGGCTGCAAACCTGCCGCCGTGATATCCGTCCCGATTGCAAGATTTACTTATGTGTATCTACAAACTCAAAGGATTCTCAGTCTTATCAGCATGTTTGAGTTTTAGTGAGGAGTTATAGAATATCCTTGATCCTGGTCACAATAGATTGTTTTTTATGTGTTTACAGATGAGATATGTATCTGAAAATATCAAATGTATATTTGACTTGAGTGAACTGTGATGAGGAATTTGAGTTGGGTCAATGAATATGATTGGAATAAATTAAGTTTTCTCTGAAGCCTCAATTTACATTCATAAATGTGCTCTTGCTTTATGCCAGTGTCTGAAATGTTACTGAAAAGTCATGCGGATAACTTTGAAAGCTTACCAGCCCTGTCCAAAATTACCTGCTGTCATTTTAAACAACCACAATGGTTTGTTTCCACTTGGTCTGGTTGATTCAATATGACACTGGTCAGCAAAGTAGTTTGAAAACCATTCGTATTACCTTTGCTATTGACAATGAACGTGTTTGACAGGCACCATGCAGTTGTGAATGTACGTTCAGGAATGATACCAGTGGGCTTTAGGATCTGCCGACGTGTGGCAATTAACATTACTGACTGTAATTTGATAGAACAAAATACTTGTCCATAAGGTGTGTAAACTGAAACGTTCTTGGGTTCGATGCAGATTTACTCTTTTTCGGTGCAGCCAGACAGGCAGTAATTTCAAACAAGGCAAGAGATGAATGTCTGTCAACTGTGGGGCATGGGTGGACTTGCGTCAAGGACCTTGCCAGTGACTGTGCTTGATTCATTGAATATGTGCTCGTGGGTTTCACTGAATTGGTAAACGTCTGAGACCTGCATCACTTCGGGCTTTCCTCTCACATTATGCTTACACGCTGCGATATAACTGTAATACTGTTGAAAGCGGCGTCAAACCCAACTCACTCACTCACTCATTGAATATGTGTTCTGTACATGTCAGTATTAACTTTGAGTGAAGTAAATTAACAGAACTACTGTATTATTTATTTGCCAACACTTTGACCACAATTACGATTGACAACGATTACATGAAAAAATGTTCATTTCTTGGATTGGATTCGTCGTCGTTTCAATATGGCAGAGTTGGTTTTAAGTACCAGTAAAGGGGATCCCATGTGTGAAGCATATGTCAGAAAAAATACTCAAATTGGAATTCAAGTTTTCCTGACTCATCTGAATAAAATTATTACAGGTGTTATGGCTTTATAAAGTTGACTTTCATTTGAATGCGAACAGGATCAGTAAAGAGGAAGGGTCTTTGACATGTGACATTTCTTTGTGAACTCCTCATCACGCCAAAGGCCTGGTTTGATTCTCCACATGGGTACATGTGTGAAGCCCATTTCTGGTGTCCCCCGCCGTGATATTGCTGGAATATTTCTAAAAGCGATGTGAAACCCTACTCATCCACTCAACAGTACCTCTGATACTCCCCTGTGCAACAAGCAGGCACAGTTGGTACTTTGTCTGCCCTGAAAGTCAACACTGAGGGAGACAGATAAGTCCTCTACGCCCCCCATGCAACAAGCAGACACAGTTGGTACCTTGTCTGCCCTGAAAGTCAACACTGAGGGAGACAGATAAGTCCTCTACGCCCCCCATGCAACAAGCAGACACAGTTGGTACCTTGTCTGCCCTGAAAGTCAACACTGAGGGAGACGGATAAGTCCTCTATCCTGTATGAAACCAGTGGGTACAGCGGGCACTGACACTAAACACTGAATCTGATTGCTGTCTTTTTTTCAGCTTAATGCGTTGTCATGTCAATAAGTTTCATTAGGTTTGCAATAAGTCAGTTTCAGTGGCCTAGAGCATTTGTACTATACCAAACTTACCACAGTATTTATTATGTATATACATAGAGTGTGTGAAGATATATGTGTATGAATCATTAATAAAATATTACGTGACATGTAATGTGAGATACTCGTGTTATCATGGGGCTGGGTGTATGTATGGTACCAGTGCCAGCAGATTTCAGATTTTATTCATGAATCTCATTTAGGGCTGCTACCAGACTACTTCTTGCCCTTACTTAGCATATTAAACTTTGCTTTCAGAGTACCACTAATTTGAAGTTAAGATTTTTAAAGTCCTCATTTGGGGCTGTTTCCATCTTTAAGTGGTCCCTGAATAAGCATTTTATTCGGTTATTCTTACTGCATGATGTACAGGTATTTGTGTCCTCACATCCATCTGTTTGGGTTTGCAATAGGCTGATACAGTGATGGCATATTTCTTATGATGTTTTGTATAGATCTTAAGACATGTAAAGGAAGTTTGTAAATGTAGTATATATATTTAAACATATTGTGTAGAGGAATGATGTGAGGAACTCTGTATGGTAAATGTGTACATAGTTCACCAAAGTGTGACGATGCTTTAGGGCTGTACATACAGCTTGAAGCCGCTGCTGAGGTGGCTTCACCCAGGAATCTGAGCACAGCACTGCGTCCAGGAGAGCAGACATATCATGCCTGCATGCACAAACATCAGGATTTGTGGCATCATGTGTACATATCTTTCATGGGTTCTTGCGTGTGTTGGTCTGTCCATGTTCGTAGTTCTTGAAGCACAAGCACCTGTTGGTTTAGGCACTGCATGATGCACACAGTTGTGAAGTTAGACGTGATCCTCAAAACATCTGCCAGTGGTGGCATGTCATTGCTTGATGTACAAAACATCTGTCAGTGGTGGCATGTCATTGCTTGACGTACAAAACATTTGTCAGTGGTAGCGTGTCATTGCTTGATGTACAAAACATCTGTCAGTGGTGGCATGTCATTGCTTGACGTACAAAACATCTGTCAGTGGTGGCATGTCATTGCTTGATGTACAAAACATCTGTCAGTGGTGGCATGTCATTGCTTGATGTACAAAACATCTTTCAGTTGTGTCATGTCGTTGCTTGATGTACAAAACATCTGTCAGTTGTGGCGTGTCATTGATTGATGTACAAAACATCTGTCAGTGGTGGCATGTCATTGCTTGATGTACAAAACATCTGCCAGTGGTGGCATGTCATTGATTGATGTACAAAAAATCTGCCAGTGGTGGCATGTCATTGCTTGATGTACAAAACATCTGTCAGTGGTGGCATGTCATTTCTTGATGTACAAAACATCTGCCAGTGGTGGCCTGTCATTGCTTGATGTACAAAACATCTGTCAGTTGTGGCGTGTCATTGATTGATGTACAAAACATCTGCCAGTGGTGGCGTGTCATTGCTTGATGTACAAAACATGTCAGTTGTATCATGTCATTGCTTGATGTACAAAACATCTGTCAGTGGTGGCATGTCATTGCTTGATGTACAAAACATCTGCCAGTGGTGGCCTGTCATTGCTTGATGTACAAAACATCTGTCAGTGGTGGCATGTCATTGCTTGATGTACAAAACATCTGTCAGTGGTGGCATGTCATTGCTTGATGTACAAAACATCTGCCAGTGGTGGCCTGTCATTGCTTGATGTACAAAACATCTGCCAGTGGTGGCGTGTCATTGCTTGATGTACAAAACATCTGTCAGTTGTGTCATGTCATTGCTTGATGTACAAAACATCTGTCAGTGGTGGCATGTCATTGATTGATGTACAAAACATCTGCCAGTGGTGGCATGTCATTGCTTGATGTACAAAACATCTGTCAGTTGTGGCGTGTCATTGCTTGTTGTACAAAACATCTGTCAGTGGTGGCGTGTCATTGATTGATGTACAAAACATCTGCCAGTGGTGGCATGTCATTGCTTGATGTACAAAACATCTGTCAGTGGTGGCGTGTCATTGCTTGTTGTACAAAACATCTGTCAGTGGTGGCGTGTCATTGCTTGATGTACAAAACATCTGTCAGTGGTGGCATGTCATTGCTTGATGTACAAAACATCTGTCAGTGGTGGCATGTCATTGATTGATGTACAAAACATCTGTCAGTGGTGGCATGTCATTGCTTGATGTACAAAACATCTGTCAGTGGTGGCATGTCATTGATTGATGTACAAGACATTTGTCAGTTGTGGCATGTCATTGCTTGATGTACAAAACATCTGTCAGTGGTGACATGTCATTACTTGATGTACAAAACATCTACCAGTGGTGGCATGTCATTGCTTGATGTACAAAACATATGTCAGTGGTGACATGTCATTACTTGATGTACAA